TAATGGGAAACAATCAATTGATTAACTCACAAAAGTAAATTACCCTTATTAAGTTAATCAAATTGATCAAAATTAAACAATTGAAACAAAAGAAATTACAAATTTCAACTTACCTTCTGATGCATGTGTGAACGAGGTTCCAATTGAAAATTTCTCACAGAGATTCTGAAAAAACTATTCAGTCGATTTTCATGATTTAAACACCATCAGATTAAGCACATTTTAAATATCAAATCGATATAAATTAACAATTTAAAAAATTAATTAACTAATTAATTTAATTAATTAATTAAGAGAAGAGACAAAAGTAAATTACCCTTGACTCTTCAATTAACCAACAGATTGCGCTTGCGCACAAACAAGTTCTCTTTCTCTTTCTCTGTCTTTTCCGTTTCCCTCCAAAAGAAAATTCTATTCTATTTTTCCCCCTTTCTCTTCTCTTTCTTTTCTCTGTCTATTTCTCTGTCTAAAAAGACAATGTCCATTTTTCTATTCTCTTTAAGGAAGAAGAGTTAAAAATGTTAATTTCTTCAAAGTGTCAACATGTTTTCACTTTCTCTTTGTTTCTTCAATCAAATCAACAATTAATTAATTATTTTTTCGTTTAATTTAGTAAGTTAAAGGTAGATATTAGGGTAAGTTACTCTAAACTACTTTAACTTAAACAAAATTAATTCAATTTAAATTAGTTTAATTAGAAAGTGTGACCAAAGTAAATTACCCTGGTCAACACGTTGTCTTAAAGTGATGCGTGTTAATTTTTGATTTGATTTCTCTTCAATCTTCCTTCATTTTCTTGAAGAAAATGCAACAATTAGTTAATTGTTTCAACAAAATCTCAACAATAATCAACAATTAGATTAAATTGTAAATTTTTTTCCTTTTCCATTCCTTTCCCAACAATAACCTTCGCTCAAAGTCAAAGTAGATATTGGGGTAATTTACTTCAAACTACTGTTAACTCTTATCCTATCCCAGTTAATTGTTAAATTAGGGTAATTTACTTTATACAACAATTAACTTTTCCTCAATCCAATCCTTTAATTGTCAACCACAAATAAAGTGCAAGTGTTAATTACCTGTGAACCCTTGGTGACATTGGTTGGATTCGTGCTAAATTTTGGATAAATTTAAATGGATAAAATGGATAAGCAGTTGTCATCAGAAATGGAAACTGATGAAGGTAATGAAAATATTGAGGTAATGAATTTATAAAGGAGTTGGATGGTGAACAATTCAAGAAATTCATCAAATTAAAAGTTCTAAAAGTTTACGGTGAAATAACTGAACGTCAATTCTCAGTTTCATTCGATAAGGTATCAGTTCAACCCGGATTTACAGTGGATAAGGTCAGTGGTGATCAACGATCTTACATTTGTATTTTATGTGATCAAATAGCACGAGTTCCGATGAAATGTATGGACTGTACCTTCTTCTATTGTCGTACCTGTGCTCGTTTTCTTCATATTCTTTCCCAAGCAATTAAAAATCAACCTCTTACCAAGAATATTAATGAAGAAAAAATGGGAAATAAGCAATTTTTATGTCAATTTAATATTTGCGGAGATAATGGATTCTCAAATTCGAGCCTTTAGCCGAAGACGAACGACAATTAATCACCAGTTATAAAGTAAATTGTATATATTCAAATTGTAAAGAAAGGTGATTACGTTACAATTAGTAACCATTGTAAAAATTGTAAACAATCAAACAACAAATTTAAATTCGATTGTTCCAATGTGGCCGATACTTTTCTTCTCGACGATGAAACAATTAATGAAAATCCGAGCGATTTATATTTCATCGATCAAATTGGTCAAGAAAATTTCACCGAAGAAGATATTCAAGCTGCTTTTAAAGAGCAAGCAAATTCATCATTGAGAAATTTATTCAGTGATCCTGAACAATCAACATTATCAGATTCATCATCATCATCTAAACGCTCATCTGATACCGAATCAAATATTCCATCGAAGAAGAAATTAACTCCTTCCGAATATCTTCAAAGAAAATCTAAATCTAAAATTCAAAAACAAGTAGAACAATTAACAATTAATCAACAATCAATTTCACCAACTCCTTCATCTTCAACTACAACTACAACTACAGCCTCAACAATTAAAGAACCAATTTCAGCAGCAGATCTTTTCATTCAGCCGACTTCATTTGAATTATTATTAGAAAAATTAGGTTCACCTTTACCTGTTATTACTCCTTCATCAGATAAACAAACTCCCAAAGAAACTGAAACAATTAAACAGATTAATTCATCTCCTTCCGCATCACCAACTCATGAACCAGAGATACCATGGGATATAATTGAAGCATCAAGAGCATTAAAATCTCAAGCTAATCAACGTCGTCGAGCCAATAAAAATGCTCGAAAACGAGGTGAATTAACTCCCGTAATTCCACCTCCCAAACCTTTTACCTTCCAACGTCCAAGGGAAGAAGATTGTGTTGATTGGAATGAACCTCCTCCACAACAACAATTGAAGATTTCAAGTGAAAATCTAACGACAATTATTGAACGAATTCCTGATTCAGTTCCTTCAACTCCAAAGTCAACTCGATCCAACTCCTTCAGATCCTCGAACCGCCGATCTATTCCTTCGTTAAGCCTCTCATCATCTCAAGAATCTACTTCATCAGCTGTTCCTTCAACTTCATCTTCTCAACCATCTCCTTCTCCATGTTCATCTCAACAATCACCAAATTCAGATGATATCATTTTCAATTTCAGTTCAGCCGAAAATATCAACCGATCACTCAAGCTACCCCAGCTCATACGCCTGAAACTGAAGCTGAACTTGTTAAACGCCGTAAATCCGATTATTATATCGACGAAAAATTCAAAAGCATTTAACAAACAAAAAATCAAAGGAGACAAAAGCTTTATAAAATGTTATATTAGCTAAATCAATCCTTCATTACCACTAATGATTCCTCCTGAACATTTCTCGAAGCAAATTGCTTCTGCAGTTGGAAAAATCAAATATTATGGTTTCAAAGTTTGTGCAATCGATATTGAGAAACAAACTATTGTAATGAAGGATGGAAGTTTTAAAAATGTTCCAGTATGGATTTCGATTGTCGACCAGTGCAATAATATTATCTACAACTCATTCATTCGTCATCCAGCAGCAGCTAATTGGGATATGCAAACAGCTTTTCATGGCTTAAAATACGAAGATGTTCGATTCGCACCGTTATTTGTAAAAGTTCGAGATGAAGTTTTGAAAGTTCTAAGGAAATATGATCGAATCATTCTCTGTGGTCACATTGCCGATCTTTCTGATCTCTATCTAACTCCACGTGATCATTATTATTTATTACCTCGAATCGTTGACATTTCCCTTTATTATAATTGTCGAGTTAAATCAAAAGAAGCTCTTGGCCTAAAATATTGTGCCTTCGTTTTATTTGGAAAAATCTTTCAAGAAAAACTCCACTCCCCGATTATCGATGCAGCTTTTACCCTTTGGCTCTATTTAATCGATATGCCTCGAATTGAAGCAACTTTAATTGAATTATACAAAACCAAACCTCGTTTTACTAAAACTGGTTATCGAGGATACAATTGGCCTCTTAATTTCAATATGGGTGGACTTTTAAAAGATGTTCTTAAACAAATTATCGATTGGCCTGATGCTCTTAAAACAAATCCAAAACTCCCAAGAAAAGTACAAGAATCTCAGAAAATTCAACAAAAATTTTATCCTGAAGATTTCATTGATGGAGAACCTGATCATAAACGACCGTTACCTTATAAGCATATCAGAAGCCTTTTCTACGCTTACGAACGTCGTTAAGCCTATTTAAAGGTCATAATCGACGCTTTGAACGGGGGCTCTGTAAGGGAAACGCTTCGATCGGCTTCTTTCCCCCTTAATTATTTCTCTCCATCAACAATCAATTAATTATTATATTTGTTTATCCCGCTTAATCTCTGTAACCAATCATCACTTTCTTTACCTGCATAAATACCTATGCTATTTCCTCTTCCTCATCACTTGTTACTACGGTCAAGTTACTACTCATCTCTATGTTAATCTCTCAATCAGGTTATGTTAATGTCTAACCTTTAACCTCAAGTTAACTCTCTTCCCAATCTCTCAACTTCCGTTTCCATGTTACAAATCTCAAAGTGTTACTTATCTCAATAAACAATTTCCTAATTAACTAAATCGTTACTCAATTGCTCTTGCTAATTAGCTAAGAGGGATATTAGGGTAATTTACTTTAAACCCTCTCACTAATTGCTAGGATTGCAGTTCGATCATTTCGGTGCATTTTTGTAAGGGTGCCTGTACCTCATCCCCGTGAATTAATTAGACCTTACAAAGATAATCATCATGAAGGTAGAAAGAAAATCGATCCTGGTCATTTCGATCTTCGTAACACTTTCTCTCTCTCTCTCTCTCTCTCTACACAAAAATCCTTTTGTTTCATTTTCCATCATCATCATCATGGAAGCCATTGAATCTTCATCATGTTATCATCATTATTTTTCTCTTTCCATTTTCAAGGTCAATGTGTCATTAGATTTACTAAGATATTCATTGATCACAATTCTCATCAATGATTAACAATCTTCCATATAATATATAAAGTGTATTCCTCATGAGTAAATCATTGGAGATTATATTAATATTAACATGAGAAAAGTTCATAACCTTTAAGTTAAAAGGTCGATTATGAGTTAATATCAATGTTCATTAATCTTTCAATATTTCAATTTCATCATTGGATTAATTGGGTTTCTATTGATTTAGATTAGTTGATTAGATTAGCTTTTTCACTCTCTTAATTATCAATTGAATGAATGTTTGATTGGGTTAAATCAATCGCTTCTAAGTATTGGATTGATTTCATTTCAATTGGTTGTATAAGTTAATCAGTCTGAGTTACAATTTTTTTTTGTCAAATATTACTATTGATTAATTGTCTTAATTAATGGTCAATCAATTAATTTCATCACCAATTAATGACATACTGACCTGGTGAAGGTGAATTTGGTTGGCCCCAAGTATTTGGACTTTGAGTTTGATATAAAAGTGCAGTCACACTTAATTTGGGTCTATCTTTTTTGTACATAATCAATTTAATCAGTTAATTGTTTTCCTTTGATGATTAATTAATAATTAAGATAAACGGTAAAGTCTAATTGGTAGAGTTAATCACTTCCTTTTCCGTTTTTGTTTCCTTGATTAATTGGTCGACTCTCACCCGATGTATTCAAAAAAGAGATGGACTCAAGTTTAATTTGATTGTTTCCACTTAATTAACTAATTAATTGTCGTTGGAAAGTCTCACTTTTAATCAAAGTAATTAGATTTAAATTTAGACAAATTCAATCAAATTTTGGTAACTAAATTGTCGGCGTAATGATTAAATGAAGCACTTATTCATAATTGTTGTTGATTAATTGATTGATATCAAATTTTGATTAACTGGATTAAATTGGATTCGATGAATTAAAATTAAATTGATTAATGTTCAATAACAAATCAATACAGATCAAAGATTAGGAACAATTGAAGATTTAATGAGAAAAAAAATTAAACAAAACTTAATTAAGTATAACAATAATTACTATTGAAATTAAATCGTTGTCACAAATTAATAATAAACAATATCAATTTACATAACAATTAAAAATGAAACAATTAAACAATGGATAAAAGTTGATTGGTTAACAATTAAATGGGCGATGATTGAAAATAGTTGATTAGTTGATTAGTTGATTAGCATGAAGAGACATTCACACAGAGACACAGAATCACAATAACCTTTTAATTATGATTAAAATTAACAAGCGAAATCCAATTAAATCAATTTAATTTGGGTGAACACAGAATTAAATGTATCACAGAGAGAAGGAGAGAAATGAAGATGAAGATGATAAATGATATCGATGAACTTGAAGGTCGACAGAAGAAACAATTAAGAAGAGAAGAAGAAGAAGAAAAAAGTTCGAAAATTAAATTAAATTGTGTAGAGAATTAAATTTCGTTATATTGGGTAATAATAATACTAAGAAGATACAATTAAATTGATAAGGTAAATGAAAACATTGACGGGTTATCAACCTAAAAGAGTTACTTTCATATTCATTTCATTTTTTTTCTTCTTTTGGATTCTCTCTCCCTCTGTAAGTTTATTATTATTAGGGGATTTTCAGATAAAATTCTGGGCTTATCTATGGTAGATATTTTTATAATAATAGTATATCTAGTGTATATATACAGAGAGAGAGAGAGAGAAAGTGATGAGAGGGAGAGGAGGGAGTGAGTTTATTATTGATAAAATGTTCAACTTCTAACCAAGTCTGTGTTTGAAATAATTTTTTGACGTTGGTGGTTATTGTACGTTAACGAAAGGCAGAGAAAGAGAGATGAGTGAGCTAGGGAGTGTTTGGATTTGAGAGAGAGAAAGAGATGAAAGAGTTGGAAGAAAGGGTGAGAGAGAAAAGATGAGAAGGGGAAAGGATGGTGAGAGAGAGAGAGAGAGAGAGAGTTGAATAGTGTTGTTGATCGGTGAGAGAAATGAAAGTGGGAGAAAATTGAAGGGAGATTATGGTGAGAGTAAGAGTGAGTCTTGGTGAGTGAGAGAGGTTGAAACTTGTAAGGGCGGGAGGAGAGGGAGAGATTGCGCGAGCTAGTGAGTTTGTGTGATGAGAAAAGAAAAGAAAATGTTAACAAACGAAAGAGAGGAAAAAAAAATAAGAGAAAGATATGAGTAACTAACGAAAGAGTAACTATGTGAGTGTGTCTGAAGAAACTCAGAGGAATGAATTTTATCTTCAAGTGAGATGATCATGAAAAAAAAGAAGAAGAAAATAAGAGGGAAAGAAAAAAGAGACTCTCTTGTAACCGGGGAATGACTTACTAACGATTCGTTAGTATGTTAACCATTTTCTCTTATGTCAAACGTACGTTGCTACGAACTGAAAACTTTTCCAACTTTTTTTCTCTTCTCCTCCAGTGGCTCCATCTGTTGGCGAATTTCGAAAACTATCGAATTTACCATTTTTTCCAATTCATTTTCTTTAAATTCAATTTTCAACCTTCAAATTTATTACCAACTTCGTATTTAATTATTTGCTCATTAATCTGATTTAATCTTTAATTCCCCATACGCTCTCTCTCTCTCTCTAACTACTTAATTTACACTTTAATCAGCTAATTATTAATCTTATATCATCCATTTGATATTGAGCAATTTTCTTCTTGTTTTTGTTTGTCTCATGATCTTGATTTTTTTTGTTATTATTTAGCTTTACGATTGCAATTAAAACTGATCACCATGTTGATCAATTCATGATGATCAAGTTGGTTAATATTTCAAGTTTATTAATCATTATATTGACTTCGTTGTTGTTGTTGTTGATTATCAACAAATAAATATATTTATAAATGACACTTTCAGGTAAATCAAATGAAATGATTATATAAATTGAATGTCTGATCCAGTGATGAGATTAATTTATTAATTTTCTTCTTCTCAATTGGATTAGATTTTCGTTAATCTAAATAGTCACAAGCTCATAATTAATATCAATGTGCTTTTTATTTACTATTTTACCGAAAATCTAATTAGATTTAGATTTGAATTGCAAGTTGAAAGTTTAAGCTTAATTTGTTTTTACTGCTTCTCCCTGATTATGTAATTATTATAATTAATTTAATCCACAATTCAAGGTTAATCATTCAACGATTTAGCTTAATTGTGATAAATTAACACTGGACATTTCCTTGAGCTTTTGTGTTAAATGTTGAATCAACAGCAACAATTAAAAGTAAACTTTATATTTTTGCTCTAATTTTTGGTTTTTCAGTCTTAATTATGATCCAGGAAATTGTAATTAACTGTAACACTTTTAATTGCAACCAAGCAAAGGTTAAATAATATCAATGAGCTAATCAATTATTATGAAAATCAAATTGCTTATATTTGATTAATGATTAAAACAAAGGAAGAAGATATGAAAAAGTTGATCAAGATTAATAATTAAGTTAAATTGTTCATCCGGTTAGATTAGTTTCTGATAATTTGAATGAGCAACAATTAACTTTAATCATAACGATTTCATAGTTACTGTTTAATTAATCAAAAAGCAAAATTAATCAAGGTTATTGTTGATATTGTGTAATCCTGGTTACAATTTAATATTAATGAACAATGATTTAGTTTTATAATTATAATCCAATTTATATTCATTTAATAATTTCAATTAGAAATTAATTGTTTGATTAAGCCCTAAGGGCATGATAATTGAAAACAATAACAAAATTAAAGTGCTTAAATCAGTGATTGATTAACTTTTTTCAGTTTAATTGATTAACAATTACGTTTCCTCGTCTAAAGTTTAAGGACAATCAGCTTAATTGAGGATATAATTAGTGTTTCCAATTGTTAATCAATGTGTCTCATAATTCAATTTAATCTCAATTAATCCCAATTAGAAACAAAGTTATAATTACAATCAATTAATTGTTAATAACAAACTTTAGGACAACGATTAAGCAATAAATGATTTTTTTAATTCACTTTAAAAGTGCAATACAATTATATATAAATATTAATCTAATAAAACAACAACAAAAGTTAATTTAGTAATTTAGCTTCACTAATTAGTTAATCATGATCAACATTTTTCCTTGGCTTCAACTTAATCAAACTTAAAATAAAACAAAAAACTATGGTTTTTGATATTATTGTGATTAAGGATTGAATCAAATTCAAGGCTATTTAATAATCAATTTAGTTGATTATTTGATTTACTTGGCTTCTTGATTTAATCACTTTCAATTTGTGTGTATATTGATTAATGATTGTAGATGCATCTTATTACAATTAAATCAAATAGTATGGTTAATTGTGAATTAAACACTAAAAGCTAATCATATACACAATCATACGCATTTAGCTAATTGTTGATTATCTATGTTGATTAATTAACTAATTTGATTGATAAAAAACAAACTGAATTCATAAAAATGTGAGAAGGTGAAAAGTTTTTATCACAATTAGTTTGATTGGAGTGATTGTTGAAACTGAATTAAAGACGCAATTAAGTGTATGCATTTAAGAAAAAGTTAATTAAGTTAATAAGAAGATAAAATTAACCATAGATTTTGATTATCTTAGTGATTAAGATGAGTAGGTTTACCTGGTTTAACCAGTTCTTTCAACCCGTTTACCTGTTTGGAATCATGAATACGTTTAATTGTTGAGAAGAAGTAAAAAAGATCCAAAGATAATCAAGTAACAATCAAGAATATTTTTAATTAGAAACTTTGATTCCATTTTGTTTCTCATTGATGATTGATCTTGATGTTCATCAATTAGATTGTATTTTTCAGCCGCAATAAACAATTGATGAATTGAACTGATTTCATGGTTAACTCATTACATGATTAATGTTAATTGTCAGCAATTATAATTGTCTGAATGTTATTACATAATTTTTCAAATACGATCAGCGAATTGGTAGCAAATTGTTTTCATATTTGTTTGTAAACATTAAAAGAGTAACAATTTAATGGTTTTGATGATTAGGAATTGACTTGTTATTAAACAATTGATTAGATTGATTGTTGATAATTAAAGTAATTTAAGAAAACCCCATTGGATTGGGTTATTATTTAACAGGGTAATCCAAGGTTATTGAGCTTTCTATTATTATTTCAACTCTTTTTTTTTCAAGTAATCACTCATTTTTTTACATGGAGACAGAGAAATAGAAAGGGAAAGGGAAGTTCAATGATGATAATCATTTTATCATCATCATCATACATTAGGTAACATTGATAATGAATATAATAGCTTAGTTACCAGAGCATTGCGTGTTAACAATCAACCTTTTACAAAAGCAAAATGATAATGAAAATTGAAGTATGTTGATGATTTAGCAGAAAATAATGAAATGAAATTATCATGTAGGAGTCCTATTGATGTCCATTGAACAATTATACGAGGGAGAGATTGAAATACAATGGAAGAGAGAGAGAGAGAGAGCAAAGTAATCACCAAGTACCAATTCAAAAACCCCTTTGGTAACAATTATAACAAAGGATAGAAGTTGATTCCAATTGGATTAAGTTGATGTGGATAAAATGTATTAATAGAAACTTAAAATGTTGATTCCAATGGTATTAGAAGATTGTATTTGCTGAATTAATCGTGAAATTTGTATTATCATCATGATCTTTTTATATTCACACTGATTTCCATTCAATCCTTTTGTTTCATCTGATTACCATTGTTACCAAATCTGAACGAAAAATATGGCCGATGAAATTTTCTGTAAGCTTGTTTTCTTCTCATCTGATGATCATCATCTGCTCCCACCTTGTTGATTGTTATTGTAGACTGACAGTTCTAATATTAATAGGCCTATTGTCATTAGAACATGAGAGAGAGAGAGAGAGAGAGAGAGAGAGAGAGAGAGAATGAAAAAGGACATAGAACCCTTTGTTTCTCTTATTGTTTCGAGTTCTAACCTTGAGGAAAATTATTATTCTTTTTATCCTCCAACACGTTTTCAGTTTTTCTCCAATTCTATTATAAAGGCAAACAAAGTTATCATCATTTTCTTCATCTTGAAAATATTTTCCTTTTCCTCTTTAGGCTGAATAATTAATAATCTATCTTCTTTTTCTTATTCATTGTCCTCTTTTCATTCCCCTGGTTCATGTAAATTCAGTCAATTATGTTCATGTTAGACTTTCTCTCTTGCAGCTCTGTTAGCCATCCTATTCGAGATTATCATCATAATTATCATCATGGAGACTCAACTGTTGATGAAGAGAAAATAATCAACATTAACAGCACAAATATCTATTGACGCATAACTTATTTGAGCTTTTTTCTTTTTCTCTTCTTCTTCTTCTTGTTGGAAGATATAAAAAAACGTCATCAGAAAAGAAGAAACTTTTTCAGGTTCTGGTTCATCTTTCTCTTGATCAGCCAATGTTTCTTTTTGGCCTGTTAACTTGAATATCTTTTGTTGGTGTAGATTTAATTGTAGACTTTCAATTTCCATCTCTTTCCCTGATTTGATTACATAACACTTTCGGTTCTGAGAAAATGGATTCATCAACTTTTCCAATCAACAGGTGAGAAAGAAATTCATTCTTTCTCCTCGGCAGGTTATCATTAAGTATTCCATCATGAATTCTGGGAAAGGTGGAAGAGAGAGAGAGAAAAGTAATGGTCAGTGGGAATGTAGTGGCGATTGTACATTGGTGGTCACTCTGTGGATTCACGGGTTGCATTTTCACTCTTTAATCAAGTGATAAATTAATTCTTCTAACAACATTGTTGTATTATAAAGAAAAAGAAGTAGAAACGATTCTCTAATTTTCTATTCTTTCCATAGTATCTTCGTCTTTTCTTTGTTTTTCCTCTTCGCCAGTAGAATCTTTCGTTTCAATTATAATATCGTTCTTTTCTTTATCGTGTTTTGTTTACTCCTTTTCTTCAATTGTTTTATACTCCTACTCCTTGTATGTACTCCACCATATTCTGATTGGGTGTGTAATAGATTATGTACTTTAGGCGGTGGAGAAATGAGAAACAATAGAGAAACCAATATAACACCCTTATGATGAGCATGTAAGGCTCGTGGTTCCAGAGACTTGTGATACTTTTTATCCAATTGACAGAATTCACGTCATTTTCAAATGATCGTTTTCAACAGCATGTTAGAAATGATGGAAGACGTTGGATGATGTAAGTTATGATCAGCGAAACAATCAAATTTCCTCCAATTAGCTTTTCCAAATTTCTTAATTTGCATGTTGATTTTACATCAACGAAGCATAAGTAAACGATGTAAATAACAAGTTAATTTGACTTTCATTTCCATTGTATTTTGATGAGAGGGCAATTAGTTAATTTCTCGTAATATTATGAAGACTTAACAACAGCAACAATCCAACCATAAATTAACTAACAACGTTATATTCTTGGTGATTACGTTTGGTTTTCTTTCTTTTTTCTTTACTTTTTCTTTCAGTTGATTATCTCGTTCTAAGGAAAAGATTGTTATTCACTTGCCATTAAGATCTCTTCTTGTTTTCTTCTCATGGTACACTGACCTTACGAAGTACTTTCATCTTTCTTTCTCCCGTAAGATAATTATTGACGATTGACATCTCCAAATAGGATGAATTTATCGAGGATCAGGTAGTTTCTTGCCCAGAGAGAGAGAGAGAGAGAGAGACCCGTCTTCTTTCCCCCTGCAAACGAATCCGCTTTTCCTTTTGGATATTTGGTAACTTGTGAGTCCATCAGAATAGGTAAGAATCATTCACTCAGATTGTTCAGAGGGAAAGAGGCTAAATTTCATGGTAAAGATAAACAGAAACAGGTTTTCTTTTTCTTCCCTCTCTCTCTCCATGAATCGTTCATATAAGATGAATGTTTAGTTCGGCATCAGGATGAATTGAAGGTTGTTTTCCTTGTTGTTTTCTTATCACCAGCCAAGTATCTGCCTTTTTTTATATTCGACAAACTCTGAGAAATGAAACATCATCTTCTTCTTTACTATCTCTCATCATCATCATCATCATCTTTTTCTTCTGATTGTTCCATGTTGATATAATCACTCTGGAAGATGAGAAAACACATAAAACGAAAAAAAAATACTTGAAAAGATTTCTTTTCCTCCATCAACATAAGATGAAATTCCTCTTCTTTCCCTCTTAACACAGAGTTTTATCACCCTCTGGCTATATTATACATCAGCTTGTTCACCTTTACAATAGAAATAAATACAAAAAAACAACCAATTAACCAATAAAGTAATTGATAAAGAATAGAAAAAATCTCTTAGAATTGCGGTAAAAATGGCTACTCACCATTCTCATCAAAGAAAAAGATCCAAACTCAAACAGAAAAGAACAGAAAAGAAAACCAATTAAAACGATCCACATGATGACAACTTTGATTGACAATCAAAGACAATTAAATGTTTCCCAATCATTAATCATAATTAAAAAGAATTAGTTTTAATCAATTAACCAAAACACAAAAAGAATCAATTTTCTGGTCTCCATGTGAAGGCCAATCAGAAACTCTTTCGCCCCGGTTGCTTAGCAACGAGAACATATGATGATCATGTGATCTTTTTGTTTTCTTTTCTTTTAATTACAATTAATTAACTAATTATTAATGGTGATTAAAGTTTCTCATTTTCAATTTAATATTCTAAATTGTCTTGATGTTGGGGTTGCTTGAATTGTTAACAATTAGCTGGTTAATTGTTGTAACATTTGGTGAATGTAAAGTGAACATTTGATTGAGAAATTTTCATTTGGATCAATATTTTATAATTGAAGTTAATGTTGTGTAATATTAATGATTACAATTAATCAAGTGAACTTAAATTATTACCTGTCAAAGTGTTGCTAATTTAATCATCTAATGTATTAACTGAACCGATGTTATGGTTTAACTTGATTCCTTGGAAATGGTTTACAATCAAATCTAATGGTAAACTCGTTCTCATTTTTGATAATACATTTAATTGACTTTTAATTGTTTTTTTTTCTTCATAAAATATACACGGTAAGTGATGATTTAATTATCTCTTTTAAATAATTAAATTTTGTAAATTGTAGTTTCTGTTTACTTCTTTGGTGTTTAAATTACACTTTTGCCAACTATTGTAGGCTCAGTTGTCGCCTCTCAATGGGAAAATTGTATTTACACCTTGAAAAAAATTCATTTACTCTTGATAACTTTTAATTATCTGTTAATTATGATTTAATGTCCAAAATCATTAGTTGAATCAATTGTTGGTGCAACTATGAATCTCTCATGAGTAAGTGTCTATTTCAGGATATTCATAAGATCAATCGTCTAATTAATATTGTCAATGTTTACGATTAATTAACATATAACATTCTTGGCATAAAATCAGAAAATTGATCAACTTGATCAGTTTAATTTAAGATCACAATCAATGAATCAATCATTTAATTTTACATTGTAATTAAATCTTAGATTAATTGATAGTCAATGACATAAATATCAATCTAATTACATAAATAGTGATTAAAGATAATGATCACAATTGATTGTCAAGATGAAAAGAGAGAGAGAGAGATAATTAATTTACAATCAACGACTGATCAAGACACAAATATATGAACAATTAAAAATATAAGATTAAATGGAATGACAATTATATTAGAAAGTAAACAATTAAGAATAATTAATTTCTTTGTGAGTAACGACGGTAAATCAACGCAATTAACGATCGTAACTCTTTTGATTGTGAATAAATGATTAGACTTTCGATTCCTTGATTAAGATAGGGCATAAGATGATTAAATTGATAATCAGTGAGAGTTAATAAACATTGAAAGATGGAGATTAAGATTTGAGAGTAAAGGGTTTCATAAGCTTCGCTATCTTTAATCAGATAATCTCCTTCTTTATCCAGTTCATCACAGTTTCCATCCTGTTGATTTAATCCATTGTTAATTGTTGTCACTTCGGACAATTTACCTCGATACCTTTTAGGAAGTTGATTCTTTTGATTCCAAGAATCATTAAATGATGGAGGTAAAGGTGAATGTTGTGATTTCCATTTACGATAATTTCTCATCACTGAATCGATACGATTTTTACTCATGACGATATAATTTTTGGTCTCATTTTGTGTCTCAATGTCTGATTTTATCTCTTTACACGATTCCAGGTCACTTTCCCGTCCAATATCATCAATAATAAATTCATTTCTTATATTATCTTTGTCATCTTGGTCACAAGTTGATTCACAACTATTACTCAATGATTCCGGAAACAGGAAGACAGGATTTCCCATCAGCTGGTCAACTTTACCCTTTTCCTGTTGACCCTGGACAATGAAATCGGTATAGTGACCACATAATCGGTCAAATGTTTTACGTAAATTGCTTCCAAAAGAGTCAATATCTTCCAATTGATTTGTATTCTCCTGATCAATTAACATTTGGTAAACTTGATTGAAACAAATTAGGAAACAAGTAGCAAAACAAGAGGCTGATTGTTTATAAAGATTAGCGGGAACATGAAGACGGGCCATTTTCTGGATGACCAATTTTAATCCTAATCTGGTGTCAAATTCATGGAAATCACGATACGAATCCATCAACATGTCCAGCGATTGTGAGACAAATGATGAACTGATTGCAATCGGTCGATCATCGGGTTGATTGTTATTCTCATTAATCTCAATGAAATAAGATACCGGAGAAACGGTGAATCTTTTACCAGATAAAACGATTGATCCAATTAATCTAACCAACGTTGAATGTTTATTAATTTCTCTGATTAAATCACGAAATGGTATTCTAATAATGTAAGAAAATTGGTAAATTGTTTCTGTTAATTCATTGATCAGATTGAAGGATAGTTCATTTGAAACTCACTCGAATTCATTGTTTTCGTCTGTGATTATCTCAAAGATGAAATATTTCTCAGTCTCTGAGAAATTTTCACTCAAATGTTGATCATTTTCTCGAGGTTTTTGAAAATTCAACAGGAAAACTTGTTGGGCTAATCCTTTGGTTATAAGATCCGCTTTTGGGACAGTCTGAACTCGACGGGCGACAACTCGAATCCTTTCAAGATCTTTGTAAAAATCTAACGATCGATTGGGAAAAGCATTGATTAACTTTACCATTGATGTTAAACAAGTCGAATGCATTAAACGAAAAGCAATCGAAATGATTGACCATTTTTCTTCATCAAAGTATTGATAAGTTTCCATAATAACATGACTGTCAATTAATGAAAAAGGCAATTAATCAGTAAACTATTCAACACAATTAACAAAATCTAAATTGATTACCTGAAACAAGAAGAGGCAAGATTGGATATTGACTCTTTGTATGATGATTGAGTTGCTTCAATCAATATGATAACTGTTTGTGTAATCATTAAATCAACACCAATCAATGATTGATCATCTTCAGCCCACAATTTGACATGTTGAACAATTAGATGTGTAATTAAACCAAAAAAGTGCTTGAAATTAGTTAATTGGCTTGAGGGTGAATTAGATGATAGAGAAGAGAGTTGAGAGTTAATTTCATGAGTCCATTTTTGAAGGAATGGAAGAGCCGAATGATTAATACAATAAATTGCGAATTGATTTCCCGGATTTGACCTTAAGGTTCCTAGAATGGCCATACAAGTCTCGATGGTTTTTGCTTGACGGATTTTGGGACATCGATTGATACAATTAAAAATACCATCGATCAGAGTGAACCAAACATTAAGTATCCTTGAAGGTTTATCAAAGGATGACAATTTTATGGGAACATCAAAGTTCAATGATGATAATTCAGTTGACCAATATTCTGGTATCTCTATGGTTTTGGGTTCCTCGCTTAAGGTTATCCGTCGGGAAGAGATGAAAAATGGACTATCGGGTAATTTGTACATCGATCGAAGCATAGACTCAAATTGATGAAGATATTTCAATGAAAGAAGACAAAGATCAACATCATCATTACCATTTAGACTTTTACAATCAATTTCAAAGTGAGTCTCATTTGGAGTTGAAGGTAAATCATAATCATCGTTAATTGGTTGTTGATTTGATTCATCTTCAAGAGGATCTCTCATTAAATCAAGTAGACAAATGATACAATCGAGAGCTGAATTTGCAAAGATGTCCAACTTTTGGGTATTGAGAAAAGCTTCAAATATGTCAAGTATAACTCGTAATTGGCGGACCCGTTCAATTGACCGTTCGGTTGGTTCGGTAATCTTATTCTGGTTGGAATTGTTTTTGGAAATCGGTAAATTTGATCTCGATTCTGGTAAGACGACACCACGAAGAGCTGCAAATAATGATCGCCACCCTGATTTAATATCTTCTCTGGAACCTTCAACGAAACCACAGATTGAGCTTACGATCATTTCTTGAATATCAGAATCACAAAGTTCTAATCGTAAAATTTTCTCATAGGGTATGAAAAGCGCTTCATTGAAATGGAAATGATCTAATTCGGTGTGAATCGCCAATATAGTTGAGATAATATCGTTAACCGCTGAAACGGCCGATTTACAGATGATAAGGTCAAATTTAGAGCAATTGGAAGCCTCAATTAGATGGGGAACTGAAAGACCCCAACATCTCATAAAATGAACCAAAGGTCGACCCGATTTACCGATTCGAAGTAGAACATCACAGAATCGACTAAACAATAAGATGGAAGTCGATTTGATGTTTGATTTCTTTGAAATCTTATTGATTTGGTTACTTGAATTCGCAATCAAAGCTTCAAGGAAAGTTAGAAGGGATCTAAGATTAAGACGCGACGTGGCCTCGGTAAAAAGACGATCAGAAAGGTGAGATAAACATTCAAGTGATCTTTCCAATAAAGAATCGACGATTATTCCTTCACCTTTACGTCCATTCTTCTCGTTCATTACCGTCTCAATACATTGATCGAGACATTTATTGACATCAGATTCACTTTCCATTCCAAGTAAAGACGAAGACATCTCATGTTGACTGAAATTTAATTCGGGTGTTGGATCAGCTGATTGTTTCCTTGGACGAAGTAGTGATGTTAATCGATTTTTGAAAGGTTTTTTCGTTCTAGAAGAGAAATAATCATTTTCCAATTCACTGATAAAGGCACAAGATTGAAAAATATAGTCCCAACAGGGTTCACAGTGAGTAGCGATTTGTAGGCCAGTGGTCAGAATTGATCGAAGACTTAAAATTTGAGAAACATGGAGAGAAATCGGATTTTGTTTGGACAACAATCTAACTACCGATCCTTTGTTTTCCTTACTATCATTTGTACTCATCTCGCTATTAGATGTTGATAATGGGATAGAAACGCAATGTGGGCTGACGATAATCGCTCGTGTTAACAAATGAAAGATTCCCTTGCATCGTGATTGCAGTCCCAAAGTGATGCAAAGTTTGGACGCTGTTTGCAAAGCCAAGAGACAATTAATCATAATTGTCCGTCTCTCAATTGAACTTTTTTCATTGTCATGATTTAAGAGTAAAAGAAATGGAGATAAATTTGAAGATGAATTTGCATCATTGGTGAAAATTGATTCCATTATTTTGATAATCGACTCCCAAAATGTATCAACAAGACGACGAGCAATCACTTGACCGATATTCTGTCCATCTTTAACTGTTGTCGTTAATTGTAAATTGGTTTGAGTTAATTTACGATAACCAGATAATTCATAGCTACCAGCAACTTCTTGATCACCACCATCAATATCTATAAGAGGATAAAAAAGTAAATTCAAATCAGATTATATTCAATTACCATGATTTAAATAACAGAATAATTAACTAATCATCTACCTCTAATCATATTAATCAAGGCAATATTGTTAGACAATGAATAAGTGTAACCAACATCGCCTAGTAAATTATTTACCAAAACTTGCTGGTAAAGCTCAGCAAGCCAAGTTGATGAAAGGTAAACCAAAACACCAGAATTGTAAATATCATCAATAAATTGTTGCTCAGTAATTGGTGGTTTAGATTGTGTAGCTAAATTGTAGTAATTGTCTTTCATCAGCTTTAAATTCAATGAGAGGGTTGAGTAAACAGCCAAATAAACACCATCGCCATTGATGATCAGTGGATCGGATGAAGTGATAATTGTTGATTTACGTTTCTCCCAAATTGCTAATCGATAATAAGAAAAGTAAATGAAAGGTTAGAATCAAATTCAACTCGAATTTAAGTTAATTACTCACTTTTACAGAAATTCGAAGCAAATTTTTGCAGTTCATTGTCGATTTGAACGCTGTTTTTCATGGTCAATAAATCACCGAGTATTTTGATTAGATCCTTGATCATATCGCGAGCATTTTCCCGTTCTTGATTAATTAGGGAATCGTGATTATCCAGGATGATTTGTTGACGTTCATTTTCTTGCCGAACCTCTGAGATGATTCGAGATCGATAATTGTTCCGTTGATTGTCTTCTCTCATCTCTTCATTGTTCTCACCATTCAGAGAGACTTTATCATGAGAGACATTTGATTTGGTGACATTTGATTCAATTATCGAACTGATTGTTACATCATCATCTTGATTGGTCTTCTCATCAAGGGTACATTGTGATCCAAATGAACTAACTGATTGTTTAAGTGATTCACCTTCATCAGTTACAAACAGCTCATCGGAAGCTGAATCATCCTCATCGGCTTCATAATCATCATCAAGACTACATTGATTATCATCACTTTGATCATCACCATCAGGATTATCAATTATCTCCTTTAATTTACTCTTATATGAAGTAATCTCCATCTCATTATCCGATTGTAATACCAAATTAGGTTGAGTGAAAACATCATTACTTGATTGAGATAAATCCTCATCTTCACCCTCTTCAGTATCAATAGAATCACCTTTACCAAAATTGACCTTTCTCCTTTCACCATCACCATCATTACCACAATTATCTTCAGATTCAACAACACAATTATAACCTTGATTGGTTAAATTTTTACCGGAAACAATTGAGTCCAAACTGTTAATCAATGAGATGATACAGTAAACACTTTGAAAGATAATCTCTTGATCGTTAGTTGAACTACATTCAACCAGTGAATCAATTATTCTGAATAAGGTGAGAAACAAGAAAAGAATTGATTAAAAGTTTAACAAAATTAAAATTAGAATTAAATTGTTAATCAATCAACAATCAAACTCTCAAACAAAAAAGTAAACAAAAACATATGATTTTAACCGAAACCGGTAACCGGTTTTTTGATTTTCGTTTCCGGTCAACTTACATTCTGATCAGATTTAAATCCTTGTCGGTGCAAGATAATTGTGTTGGTGAATCAACTGTGGTACATAATTTAATTAGACACTGATTGTCTTTAAATAGCTAGAGAGAAATTGTTGAAATTAATTAGTGAAAATCGTAAGTTTCAAATCTCGAATCATTTACCTCTTTAATTGATTGAAGAGCCTCAAAGCGAAAGTGAATCAATGGATAAAGAAGCATTCGATGAAAAATCGACTCTAAAACTGGCCTCATGTACTTAATTGGACCAAAAAGACGAACCAATTCACGAGCCACTCTATAAGATAATCGAAAGAGAATGAAAAATAACATTAATGATAAAATAATTCGAAACAATTAACTATTGACACGATCGCTGAAACAAATCATCTTAAAGATTTTACTCTTAAACTTTGGATCGATTAAAGGAAAATAATGATAATTTTCGAACAATTTAATTGATTAATTAAGCTCTTACCCATAAACTTCCTTTAATTGTATAATATTTTTATCGTTAAATGATAAACATTCTGATCCACGGCCATAAATTTCATCTTTTGAATTTTTTCGATTCTTTTTGATTGATGATTTATCGACTCGAGGAGATTTAATTACTCGATTCATATTAAAGTTTAACAATTTAATCAACATCGGACCCAATTTTTGCCTAATTATCGCAAAATTAAGACAAGATAATTAACCGATCATCTAAAGATTAACAAAGAATTGAAATGTTATTCAAAAATGAGTATTAATATTTACTAACCAAACGAAATCAGTTAAATCCTTTTCAATTGATTTATCAATTTCCAATGAAGTTAATATGGCATTGATACACTTTAAATTGAATGATATTTGAAATGAAATCAAAATAATCTGAGACCGTGAACTTTTATCACCTTTACCATGTAAATAGCATCTTTTCCTGAGAATGATAATTTTACCTGTCAGAGAATCGAGAAGCGGAATAATCTGATGATTGATTGCATCTCTTAATTCAATTGAACTTTCAGTTATCAGGTAACCGATAAAGTAACGATATGATTGAATTGCCGTTGCCGTTGATGCAGTGATCTTTGGGCTCACTGTTGATGACCCAATTAATGGATCGACCGAGGATGAGGATGCTAATGATGAAAGTGATGCTGCCAGTGAATTTGATGTTGATGAATACGAGGATGGTGATGATGATGATGTTGTTGTTGTTGTTGATGATGATGGTGATTCTTTTGATGATGAAATTGTTAAAGGTGAACATGAGATTATCGTTGAACAGCAAATATCTGAAACTTTTTCAAGATCTGTGAACCGTAGGTGAGATATTCTTGAACAGGTAACTTCAAGTAGACATTTGACTAATTCAATTTGAATTATCTCATTACAATTGATTATCTTTGATCCGATTGATGAAATTATTTGATTGAAAAAATGATTCTCACAAACATCGGGTCTCCATAATGAATTATCTCGGATAATTGTCTCATAACCATTGATTCCTAATTGTCGCAATTTACTGTTCTTACATGAGACACAATTAGCTAATAGCTTGAGATAATCATCCAATATGGTTGATTTGAATGCTTCAATTGTTGCTGGCTCTGTATTAGGATAATCAAGTTAATTACCGGTAATGGAAAATAAGTAAAATACTTCATCAATATGGTTAATTAATTGTGTCTCATTTGTGTGACAATGTTTGATTATTGTAATAAACAAAATGGTTGACAGAATAATCAAATTGTCAAAAGTGATGGTCAAGCAAATTGAGAGATGGACAACAATTGAAATGATTGAAGGGTAAATTAGGTTAATTGGTGAACTGATAATCTTTTAATTATCTCTCTATGTGACAATAACCACTTTCTATCTTGTTAGAAGATGAGGAAGATAAAGGAAGATAAGAAAGAAAAGAAAGAGAAAAACAAATCGAGATCATTTGGTGAGATCTTATTGTTTTTTTCTGGACCTTCAACCTGAGTCCATTTTGTTGAATTACCTCAATGCCCTAAGGTCAAGTTGACTATTTGAGTTAATAGAACCAGGAAACATATTCTAACTGCTGGACAATACTGACCATTAAGAAACATAGGATACCTGTTATTGTGAGATAATCACTTGAATTTGATTGTTAAATCAATGACAATTATCAAGAACCACTCAGACCATCAACCTAATCTATTGATAATCAATGACAATCTAAATGAAGTGCTGGTTAATCACTTTAATCAGATTTACATGATTGAATCAACAGAGAGTTCAACTGATTATTATTACTATTATCCATTGGTACATGTAAGTCTTATTAAGATCAGGTTATCATCATGATTGTGATTTAATAATTGTAATTGTCTCACAATCAAAGAGTAAAATTAAAACCAGAAAAATGATCAATGGGAAATTAAATAATCAACACTAACCTTTTAGGTCTCGAGCTTGATTGACAATTGAATTTGTTGATGATTGTTGAGCTTCGCTGATTATTTTATCAATAATTGAACTGAACATTTCCATGTTGACAATTAACAATTTACAGTTATGATTAAAAAGAATCAAATTTAATTACAACAATTTAGGAAAAGAAGACAACAAATCAATAACATGGAATTGGTATCAACATATGGTTACAATAAAGATTCAGGTTGAATTCATGGGGATGGAAAATCCTATGGAAGATAAAATAGACAGAGAAGAAAAGAAAGAGAATTATCTTCTCTGTCTATTTGAATCTTTTTCTCTTTCTTTTTATTTCTCTTTATTTTTCGAGTTTTTTTGTTTGTCCATCGATCGATTATGGAGTTACAATCAATTGGATTAAATCTAATCAACTGTTGATTAGCTTATTACAAAAGTAGAAATGAACAACAATTAAGGAACACAATTAGTGTTAATTGTTACAATTTCTAAATCAAATAAAGTCAATAGTTTGTTAATTGTGAATGTGTTTGTTTATTTTCATTTTCATTGTCAAATTGATCACAACAATTAAATGGATAAAAAAAATAATATAACAATTTATATATTAAGGTGATAATTGTGATGAACAAAAAGCAAATACAAATACAAATTGTAACAATTTATTAATTGTTACATGACAACAAGAGGAACAAAAAAAATGATCAACTTTCTCTTAATTGTTATCAATGAAAATAGGTAAGTGGTAAATGATAAGGTGATTGTCTTTCATTGTTAATTACACCAATTGATTGGATAATTGGTGAATTGTGATTAACTGAAATTAACGGTTTGATATTGGATTTAGATTCAAATTCATTTTCTGAATTAATGAAAGGTATTGGAGGAACATAAAGATTATTGTTAATTGCTGCTGATGATGATGATGATGATAAATCTTTTGAGTTTATTTTAATTGTTGACAATGATGGTGATGATAGACCAAATTGTGAGTGTAATTTAGGGTTGATTAAGGCTTGATTATTAACTAATGATCTTAATAAACTTGCAATTGGAGGGACATAAAGAGATGAGGGTTTAATCATTGTATTCTGATCACTTGTTGGTATAACGGTTGATGTTGAGGATGAAATTGATGATAAAGATGAAGATGAAGATGGTAATGAAGTTATGGTTGATTTAATTGATGATAATGTTGTTGTCAAGTCTTCCGGTGTTTCTGTGGTCTCTTTAACTGTCATAATTGTTGATGGAGATGAAGATGAAGATGAAGATGTTGATGTTGTCGTTGTCGTTGTTGTTGATGCGGTTTCGGAGTTGATTGTGTTAATCGGATTAATAGTCGTTGTTAAATTGATTGTTGTCGTTGGTGGCGATGTTGATGTAATTATTTTATCTGATTCAGTTTCATCAGGTAATATTGTTGCTGGTGTGGTTGATGGCATGTTAATTGTTGTGGGTGAGGTTGACAATGTTTCTGTTGTCATAATTGATTGTGTAGGTGATTCTGATAAGGTTTTGTCGGTTGATGTTGTAATTAGTGTTGATGATATATTATTTGATGATGTTGACACAGGAGTTGTTGTTGATGTTGTTGATGATGATGGTGATGGTGTTGATTGGGTTGATGTCGAGTACGTTGATGAAATGGTCGTTGTTGAATCTTGGATCGTAATTGGATTAGATGTTGTTGTGAACGGGATCTTATTGAGGAAAACACCTTTACGATAGCCGATTCTTTCGGGTCTATGGCCTCTTGGAATACGAATTATTTTAGTTCGAGGTAATTTCTCTTTATTGTTGGAATTTATCTCATCATTTTTAACGTTATTTCCATCTAATTGTTTGGATGATGAAGATGACGATCCATCGGATACGAAAAATCTTCCTCTTTTATACCAAATTTTGACAATTTTCTTCATCGGTTTGTTTGAATCATTGGGAATCTCAAGTCGAGTTTCAATTCGATGAGGTTCATCTCGAGATGAATTTGCCTTAAACAAAATTCGTTCAACCCATTTATCTTCATCATCTTTAGCTTTATTATTATTACCTTGATTATCACTTTGATTCAAATTAACTGGTTGATTATCAATTCCATTGGAAACAGCTTCATTTGGCAACTTTTTCAGTTCACCGGAAATATTTTCATAATCAACTGATGAAGATGAAGATGAAGATGAAGATGAAGGTAACACTGTTGTTGTTGGTGTTGATGATAATCTAACATCATTATTGATTGATTGAGACCAATTAGATTGATTTTGTTTGATCGTCAATTCAGCTGACAATGGAGTGGCCTCGGTTGATGTTAATCTTAATAGTTGATCTTCAATTAATAGATTATCTTTAATTGTTGTCGATGGTTCCTGAGTTGTTGTTGATTCTGATAAACTAATTGGTTGATTACTTAATTCAGTTGCATTAATCTTTTTGTTTCTACTTAATTGTGTCGTTATTTCATCATCAATATCAGATTTAACTGTTGTTGTCTCATCAACTGATGAGCTTATTGTTGTTGCTGCTGTTGAGGTTGTTGTTGGTGGTGATTGTGATGAAGATGATGATAAGGAAGGAGATAATATTGTTGTTGATTGTGTTGGCGTTGATGATTCTGTCGGCTCATCATCAGTGCTAATCTCAGGTAAACCCTTAATCTCCGTTGTTATCTCATCTAATCCAGTTGACGTTTCCATTGTTATTGAAGGTAATGTTGATGTTGATGTTGGTGGAGGTGGTGGTGGTGTGGTTGTTGTGGTTGTCCCTTCCGTCCTCAATGATAGAGTAACTGATTGTGATACTCGAGTTAAACCAGTTATTAAACGATTGTTAATAACTTGTTTATGGGTTAAATTAGGTGTTACTTTAACATTCCTATCAGCAACTTTTAATCTTTGATCGGTCAATAATGAATATGAATTGTTTGATTGATTAAATGTTGAAGGTAATTCACTTGATTTCAATATTACAGGTAAACTTGTTGTTGAAATTATTTCATCTGATTTAATTGTTATTGGTAATGATTGATCGGGTAGATTTAAAATTGATTCAATTGGAGATTCATCAAATGACTTTGAATCAATTTTTTCATTGTCTTTATCATTTTCATCAAGTTTACTCTCACCTATTGTTGATTGGGTTGATGTAATTGCGACAGAAATTGATTCAACTAATGGATTAACAATTGAATCTGATTTATTGGAATCAGGTTCATTTGATTTTATCAAATCGACGATATTTTCATTATTTGGTGTTGTTACAATCGGTGTGGTTGTTGTTGTTGTTGTGGTTGTTGGTGAAGTTGTTGTTGCAATTATTGGTTTGTAAACTGGTTGAGGTTCAAGGCTCGAGTCTATTTGGAGATAAATGAAAATTTGAGTTGATTGTTATGCTATCGTAAGTATAATTATCAGATTAATTGGTGAAATAATTACTTACCATCATAATTTAAGCCTCGTAGTAATCTTGAATCATAGTAGCCCATTGATTCTGGTTGACCATCAATCGGATTTGATAATCTGGTTCCATAAGTAGATAATATTTCAACTTCAGGTATTGTCGCCATACGATAACGAGTAATATCACCGATGGGTAAAGGTGTCAAGGATGCGGATGATGATGATGAGGATGAAGAGGAGGAAGATGAAGATGATGAAGGCTTTATTTCAGAATCTGGATTGAAACTCTCAATGACATCACTTGAACTCCTACTACTCACAATGCTACTGCTACTACTTGATGTAACTCGGACACTTTCAGTTTCACCCAAATCATCAGAACCAATTGACTCTTCAAGAACTGGCTCTCGGGAGATGCTAATTGTTTCAAGATTGGTATCGTTATGATTATGATTAATTTCACCATGATTAGGATAATTTTCTGAAGAAGATTCCTCTGATCTTCTTAATCTATCACTTTCCTCTATCCTACTGATATCAGATCGACCAGAATTGACCTCAATTCGTGAAACTTTCGGTTCAGTTGTTGTTGTAGTTGATATTGTTTCTGTTGATGGTGATTCTGTTGTTGTTGTTGTTGTTGGTAATACGGAAACCTTGTTATATTGTTGATGGGTTGTTCTTGTTGTTGGTGATGAGGATGAAGATATAATTGTTGGCGTTGGCGATCGTCTTCGTGATAAAGATGAAGGATGAATGTTAAGGTCACTTTGTATTCTATAACTTTCCAATTCCTTTAGATCATCATCGTCATTTGAATTACTTTTGATGGTTGATGACGATTTATAGTTACCATCATAGAGATCAGCTGATGATGGTTGAGGTATTAACTTTTTCTTATTGGCTTGATCATAATCAAATTGAAAGGCCGATTTAGGTGGTCGTTGGTTGTATCGTGATTGACCATCAGGATTAACACCGTCAGTATAACCAGAAGAGGAAGTTGGTGATGATAATTGTTTGAATGATTCTTTGTCTTTATTTGGGGTTAATTGTTGACCGTTATTTTGGCCTTGATTAACTGTTAATGGCGGAGATAAGGGATGAATGAGACGTGATTGTTTTCGGGTTGAACTTGAAGATGAAAATTGGAAAGGAGGTGATGAGGTTGGTGGAGAAGATGAAGATAAAGATGATAATCGGCTATTAGCTGAAGGATATTGATGGTTAGGATGAAAGTGATGAAGGTGTTGATGATGGTGAGACAATTGACCATCATCATCACCATTGTTGTTGCTGTTTGATTGTTGATTTTTACTTGGAATCAACAGTTTTTTGAATGATATTTCCCATGGTGATAAGGTTGAAGAAGGTGTTGTCGATGGTGAGGGTGTGGAGGAAGTTGACGGACTTTCAGCGAGATGAGCTTCCGGATGATAAAGAGGAGGATTAAATTTAGCTGATAGATCGATACCCGAGGCAAGACCAAGATCACGTTGTCGAGCTGTCGCTTTGAAAAAAAGAGGTAACGATGTTGACCCTCCCGAACCTCCGGTCACATCTTCGTAAGCATAATAACCCGTTGAACCGGCAACATATTTAACCTGACGGAAGACACCAAAAGGGTCAGTATAACCATAACGGCCGATCACAGTGCCATCAGGTAAACGGGTCTCCTCTCTCATCAGTCTAGGTCCAGTATCAAGTCCACCTCCAGTTCCTCCTCCGCCCGGATGGTCTCGAGTGTCATAACCAAAGTTATAAGTTGACGTTCCGTTGACACCGTTATTGTTTCCCAATACAAAATGATAGGGACTCGATATAACCAGAGTCACCGAAATGGTTAGTAAATAAATTGCTGAGGTCTAAATGATCAACAAGAAGAAAACAAAAATCGAAACAATTAAATCAACAGATTAAACAATTAAAAAAGAAAATAGATCAACTTAATCAATCGATCTAATTTCAATTGCTAATTGCTAATTGTCAGGCGTTGCTGGTTATATTTATTAAATTATTGATGATTGACAACACCAGCAAATTAATTAAAATACAATTGGGTTCGGTTTGGTTGTTACAATTAAGAAAAATTTTTTTACTCTAGTTGATAATCAACAATTAATTGGGCAGAAAAATAATAATAATAAATAAATAAATGTTTCGTTGATTAAATTGTTAATCAAGGTTGATCAAGATTGATTCTTAATTTACTTTATTTTCAATTGTTAAATCATTTCAATCATCAAATTGTTTACTCCAATCACAATTTAACCAAGGAGAGTCTATCAGTTATTATTATTAATCAACTTTCAGGTCAATTTTAATGGTCAATGATAAATTAGTAAATCAAGACAATCAATACATCTAATGAAAAGGTTAATTGTTGACAGAAAATCAAATGAAATGAAAACTAATTTAATTGTTCATCCTAAATATTAATACAAAACAACAAGACAAACAATCAACAAGATTAATTCACTCCTTCCTCTTTTAATCAACCATACAATTAATTGTCAAGCTGAATTCATCTCAAATTAATTGATAATAATAATCATATTAATATCAACGAGGAAATTTAAATTTACCGTTATTAGTTAACTAAATTGTTGGTGAAAAAAAGTTTACGTTTAAAAAAAAGGTTGATCAAGGTAAAGTGAAAGTCTAATTGTTAAATGAAATATTCAATTATCATTTTAATCATAATGATTAACTTGTTATTGTTATGATTGTTACTGTTAATATAACAATGATGATGATGAAAACAGGTAAGTTAATATTAATATATATGAATTAAGATATGATAATATTGCAACAATTAAGGTAAAAGTGAGTTTTGTTTACAATGGATAATATTAAAGGTGAATTATTTTAATTGCAAGAAGCTTAAATTTGGTTGATTGTTACAATTAACTTTTAGTTTTCTCTCATAAATTAACCTTGAATTTGGCACAAATTTTACTTGAAACAATTTAGGTGCGTTTAAATTAATCATCAGCTTAATCATCATCAACAATCTTAATCCTTAATCTAAATTGTTTATCATTTATCTTAATAGTGATGATGGTTAATCAAATGAAGCGTTAAAACAATTAAACAATTTGTATTTGGTTGATTTGTTTGGACAAAATTTTTCTACAAATTGGTAATTAGTTAATTGTTTTCATTTTTTTTTATTCAGTTTCGATTTACTATTTAATTGTGATCACAAACTTGTCAGATTTTGTTTGTTATTATTTACTTTCATCGCTAATCATTTGTTTCAATCATTTAATTGTGATCCTAATAAGGATTAAGTTAATCATCAACATTAAACGATAATTAGTGTTTAAAGGTTTAGATTTATTTTCCTTAGCAATTAAAACCGAATCAGAATCATGATTAAACTTTGAATTTTTAATTGTTCAACTTTGATTACAATTGATGAAAGTTTTGTTAACATTCACAATCTAATAAATTCATTGGTTAAATTTACAGAAATTAATCAAGAAATGACTGACAATTAGTTGATTTTTTTGGTGAAATTAAGGATATACGAAACAATCGACTTACCATTTTATTAATTATCAGAGTTAATTGTTAAAGTTAATTGTAAATCAATGATTGTTGTTAGATGAGGAAAGAAAAGTTGAAAACAAAACAAAAATCACAAGGACAATCAAATGGATCACAATTGAATGATTAGTTGATTAGTTGACCAATTGGTCCAAATGATTAACCAAATCATTTGGGGTGAAGATTTAATTTGGTTCAACAATAACAAAATCAGCTAAATTTTCACAAAAATTAACAACAATTATTGATTAGCATGATGATGATCATCAATAAACAATAATATCAATAAGATGACTGAAAACATGATTGAGATGATTAATTTTAATCAACTAAAAATGTAAATTGTTGATGATAATTAAGGAGGAACCCAAATAATAAGTTGACTAGTTGAATTGAAGGAATTTAAAAAGAAAATTAAAATTGTGATAATTTATCAGAATTTAATAATAAAAACAAGTAACAAATGATGAAGAAAATGTTGCTCAATGTGAATGGTCAGTAAATGGTCAACAGTAAATAAGGTGGAAAAGTAAATCAATTGGAAAAACCTTACACACCTTGAGAGAGAGGGAGAGAAAGAGAGGAGGTAAGAAATAGACAGGTAAATGTAGACAGAGGAAAGTGAAAGTAAAACAAACGCGTACGATTAGCACGTTAACACGCCTCGAACACGTAACAATGTATTGAGATTACAATGAATATAAGATAACACCTTAAATAAGGTGATCTTAATTGGAGAACCGGTCAGTCAATCTCAACTTTTCATTATCACAATTAACCATTTTTACACAATTAGAAGGTAATTAAAATTAACTGATCAGTTGATACTATTGTCCAGTTACATGTTAATCAATGAAATTTAAATGACTGGTCAATGAAACTTTCATCATTTAATTGATCCCAACTGACCAACGATTGATAATAATTGATCAATTGTTGGTCAGTTTCTTGTATTAATATTAGTTAACATTTTTGTTATAATTACTAAATCAAGGTAATTAATTTATCTGAAAATCTCAAAGGCTAAACTGATTAAAATATTAAAATCTAATTGTTAGCTGATTATTATTAATCACCATTGATTACGGATGAAATGTAATGATTATTTGGTAATAATTAACCAACATATCGGAATCAATGATTTGCTTTACAATTGAATTAAAATTAAATCCAATTGATGGTCACTATCATTACGATATTTAAATTGGTCTTATTTTTTTCTTGCAACAATTAACTTGATTAGATACAATTAAATTATCCATGAAGGATATTGTAAAGAGGATATTGTATTGATTATCATTTAGAAATTGATGGTTAACAATTAAAAGTAATTCAGTTTACAACAATGTGATAAGATGAACAAAAAATGTTTACAACAATTTACCCTTAGGGCAACATCACTTTATTTAAAAATCAGTTGATTATCATTAAGATTAGTTAACTAATCAGATTCAATTCTAATTGGGTTCAGTTAATTCAGTTTCTTTAATCTTTATATTGTATTACAATTGTAATCCAAGGTTAAATTGTTTTGGGGGTTAACTGTTGTTGATTAACTTATCATTATTATTAACACAAATTGTAATAATAATGAAATAATGATAATCAACAATTAGAAACGGAATTAATAATAAATAAAAAAAAAGGTAGCACCCAATTGATTGTAAATGATTAGAGGAAAAAAATTAAATTGTGATTTAAATTGTGTTGATGAAAAAGGTATGATAGGAATTGTGATTGTGATTAAATTAACAGTAAATTGTGATTAACTTACCAATAGAAACATTCAAATTGATTTGGATGAAAACACCAAACAAACAAACATAACAATTAACTGATTGTAAAAATATGAAAACTTTTTCAGTTCAATTAAGTTGATTGTAACAATTAACAAAACTGATGATCGTTTAAAATTAAAACTGATGAGAAAACTTTTAGTCCAAATGTTTGATTCAATTAATATGATGGTCACAATATTGTTGATTGTGATTATGAATATTGATTATATGATTTGGTTAATTATTGATCAGATAAACAATTAGATTTTAATCAATGAGATAAATTAAATTGTTACAAGTGATACGATTGAAGACAAAAGGCCAACTGATAGTAAATTGTTACCATTATGATTATTATGGTGTGTGTTATGTGTGAGCGTTTTGTTTTGTCGGATTTACAGTTAATTGTTGGTGATTAAGATGATCAACAGAATGAAGACAGAGAAGATGGAAGATGAAGAAAGAGAAAAGTGAAAGTTTTCTCTTCATTGTAAAAAGCGGGAAAAGATTAGTTTCCTTTTCTCTTTCAGATTGGGCGATGGTTTTTCTTCATTCTTATTATCTTTTTAATTCTGTTCTACCTGAATTTCTGATGATGATGACAAGTGATGAGAGAAATAGAAAGTGAGAGAAAAGAGAAGGCGAGATCTCTCTCCCTCCCTCTCTCTCTCTCTCTAACCGAGTGGGTGGATGATCAAGGAAGAGTCATGATGAAAGATTTTTAAATTATCTTCTTATTCAATCATCTTTTCAAAGGATTATCAGTTAATCATCATTTTGATACAAAATTATCATCATTTTTTACGATAAGATGATGATTATCTTTCTCTCTCTCTTTATCATCTATGTGTGTGTGAGAGAGAGAGTCAAAAGTGATGATAAGTATTCCAACTCCCTGGGAGCAGTTGATTATCATTTGGAAGATGAAGATGAATGTTTCTAAAGAAAATCTTTCCTAATCCTTCATCATCATCTTCTCATCATCTTCTCATCCTTTGCCCCACCTTTACACAGATTAACCTCTTATCCTTTTTGCTTGGAAAAGTTTTCATTTAATTCATCACCTTAATCTCATTGTGTAGATTAATTATCTTATTAACTTGTTAATTGTTACCATTATTATTGTTTTCTTATCATTTGGCTAGTTAATGGTCACTCAGCTAATCGATTGGTAATTAACTGTTTCCTAATTGTTACTTCTCATGGTTAGTTGATTGTTTATCTTTATCATGTAATAATAACCTTAAACCATCAAGCAATTTAAATCGTAATGATTAACATTTTCAATTCATCTACTAATTGATACTCTTGTTTACTTGATTGTTTATTGTTCAACAATTAATATATTGTGATGATTATTATATATATAAATTGTTTGCTAATTAAAAACATTAACAATCAAATAAACATTTGCTTTTCTTCATATTTCTCATGAATTGTTAATCATGATAATGATAATTAAAATGGTTAATTGTTAACTGTTGATGAGAACTAGCTAAATCTTAACAATCAGTTAATCAAGGTTAAAATTAAACAATCAAATAATTTAGTCATCATTAAATTTGTTATTTTATAACAATTTGATTGCTAAATTAATTTAATTTCACTTGAAACAATTTCTTATAATCAATGATTGATTATTATTTTCAGTTTATATTAATTTGTTTCCTTTAATTGTTTGAATCAAGTTAATTAAATTGATTCAATTAACTAATTTCCTGGAATGAAAATTTCAAGGTTATATCATTAACCTTATTTATCAATAATTAAAAATGATTATCAGTAAATTGTTGGGCTGTTGATGTAACAATCAATATCTTAACAATTAACCATGATGATCAATGATTTAAATGTATAAATTGTTCACAATTAATGATTTATATTGTCAAATGAATTTTGTATTTTCCTAATCAATTTGATCGATTGTCAATTAATCATAATTATCACACATTTAAAACAAGATGAAATGATTAGAAAGTTAATCAAAAGTGTCAACAAGTATTTAAGAATCAAATAGCTTAAAGCAATCAATTAATTGTTGACACTTAATGATGAAAGTTAATTAACTAATTTTTCAATTTCCTCCGGCAAAGTTTGAAAAACAACTGATTAAAACACCAATTGGAAACAATCAGCTCATTGAATCACTTAGGCCACAATCAAAATTGATTATTTCACATTCTTGATTAACTTAATCACTACAGGTAAACACAATTGCTCACAAAATTAATATGCAATAATTTAATTGTGATTTAAATTTAATCATTTAAAAGGCCAAGGTAAAGTCTCAATTTACTGCAAAGTTTTCAATTGTTGATTTCGATCAACAATCAACATTTATTTATCATCACAATTAATAGTTAATCAACTTGAAACTAACAGTTTTCATACTCGATTTGAATGATGATCGTTTAACTACAATTTACCAATTTCTTAATTATAATTATTAATCTGGGCGTTGGAATCGTCATCAACCATAATCATAATCAATTTAATTACTACATAATATTATGAATTAAATAATCAATGATTTACTTAGATGGTTATTGGGTGTTAAATGATATGAGTTTAGTTGATTGTGATTTAGTTGTTAATTGTTGACTATATGAAAGTTTTACTATCGATGATAAATCAATGAACTTACAACTAGAGTGGTGATTACAATTAATTATTCCTGTTGTTGATTAACTTAATTGTCGTGGTCTTGAACAAACCATTTTAGGTATTACACGAAAAATGAAATCGTCATCATCAAGTTGATTAACTTTTCTGTTGATCATCATTCTGATTACAATCAACTTAATCAACGCTAAATCATCAATGCGAAGGTGTCTTCCACTTTTAACTATTAAACTAAATTAAGGTCGAGGAGAAATGATTAACTAAATTGTAATCAACCTTTAAATTGTTGCTGTTATCATTTACACAGAAATTTACTGGAAGGTCAGAATTAAAAATCGGTTTTGTCTACAATTTAAATTACAATTTATGTTTAAATTGTTGTAGGTTGATTGTGAGTAATTAACTTATGACATTTTACTTAAATTGTAATCGGTAGTTGATTACAATCAACGGTAGTTAATTGTCATTGAAAATTGTGAATTACAATTAATGAAAGTTTAAAGTTTCGTTTTTTAATAATAATATTTAAATTGTAAATTAAATTGTTTATTTTATCCTGATTAATTTACTACAATTTAAAAACTAGATGATTTATTATAATTGTCCATGGGATTTAATTGGAGCTCAATTAATTTGCTTTTCAAAGTAACAATTAACTAATCAGTCGGATGATTTATTAACAATTAACTTTCATTTGTTTTGTTTTCCTAAGTTAAGTTTAATTGTTTATCTTAATCAACGTAACCAATGAGATGTTGATTAATCATTAATTGTAATTAAATTTGTTTTGTTTTTCCAAGAACAAGGTTAATTGTTATGATATATTTTTAAATTGTTAATTCTAATTGTTGCTGTTGATTTAGAAGTTGGGGAAAAAAAGTTTCCACAATTATATTGATATTTCTGTAAATCCTTTGGGAGGTTTCATTTCAATTGAACTAATTGTAATCACAATTAACGATATCTCAATAATTAACATGATTAATTTTGTTCCGAAAGCCCTGATTAGCTTAAAGGTAAACACGATTTAAATTGTTGATTTGATTTGATTAGTTTGGTTGGAAATGTGAAGAGAAAAATAAAATTAACTTAACCAACTTTATTTAGCTTCTGATTTAGTCTTTAAATTAAGTCACGATTTTAATTTTAAATTGTTTGCTAAATTGTTATTCAACAATCAAGTATCTAAATCAATTTATATTATTCATATAGGAAGTTGATTAAATACCCTTTTGATGGTCAACAATTAAGATTGATCATTGATCATCAGGTTCGAGGTTATTTCCTAATATCAACAATGAAATTAATAATAAATAGCGAGAAATTAACAACAATTAATAAATTATCAACACTATTTCAATGGGGAAAATTAAATTGTTCACCTTAAATTGTACAATTAAGTGTCACTTTGATTGATGTAAATATTAGTTGACCTTAAATAAGATGGTTACAAATGATAATTGATTTAAATGAAAACAATTAAGGAAAACTATCATCATCATTGTAATTAACTGACAATTAACAACATGAAATTATAATTAGTTGAACAATTTAAATCTATACTATTATTATTATCAAATTAATCATAATCTTGAAAAGCTTTTTAATTTTGATTGATATTCAATCAACACAATTGAACAATTTAAATTGTCTCCCAGTTAATTGTGACTCTTTATTATTATTATATCATCACGATTTAGTGTTAATCATGTTAATTTAAATAAGATAATCTTTAAATTGTTATATAATTAATTGATTAGTGCTCATGTTGAGTGGAAAGCTGATTGTTGTTGATGATGAAATTAGATTTTGATACTTTAATTATTATCAAGTATCACAATTAAAATTAACATGATTTAGTTTTGTATAAGTATAATCATAATCATCCTTCAATCCTGTCAACAATTTAAATCAAAGGTGTGTAGTTATTTTGATTATGACTAATTAATCAGTTGTTTAATTGTAATGGCAAAACAATTGATTGAAATTGAATTTATTTAAGTTTTAATTGTTGAGATAAATTTAAATAAACATTGTTGGAGTTAATTGTTAGTCAAAAATATAATGATAATGATCAATTATTCAAATTTAGGGACGATGATTAATAACCAACCCTGATTGTCAATGGTTAATTCTGATTAATTAACTATTATATTGGAAAACAACAACAACAATTTAACTTTGGTGTTGGTAAAAATTAACGAAAACTAATCAATAATTAAGAAAATAACAATTTCCGGAAGAAGAAATTTAATTTAATTGGAATTGGGTTAATTTCTAATGTTGTTTTCTCATTTATTAAATTGTTGATCAATAGTTTACTGTCAAACACACAATCAATTGATTAGAGTTTAATCAAACTATGGTTGATTAAAATTATTGTTTTTTCTTTACGTTAATTGTTAGTCTTATAATCGGAACAATTAAACCTAATTGTAATCAATTTTGTTTCTTCATTAACTGAAATTAAGTTCAAATCATTATTTTCCTTTCATTGATGATTAACTAAATCAACAGTTAATCACTAGAGATCCAATGAGATTAGCTAAGAAGCTTTTAATAATCTCACAAATGAAACTTTTAATCAACTAATTAACTAATCTAACAGGAAGTTGTTTATATTTACAATTTCAACAGTAAATAAATTACTGATGATTATAATTAAACATCAAGAAAAATTATCTGTCAGATTGTTGAAACAATTAACTTAACAATTTGTCTCCTACACAAAAAAAACCATCAACACAATACAATTTAAAGTAATATAAGTTAACGATCAAACCTTTTTTAATCACAATTAAAACTGATTATGCATAAAAAAAAGAGGAAAAAAAAATTAACTAATTGCAATTAAAACAAATCATCACAGGAAATCACCTTCATTTAATCAGTGATCAAGTGGGAGGTCAGTTGATATAATCAGCCCGTTAATTGTTACAATCTAAGAAGCAAATTAATAGGAGAGAAAAATACAAAAGGAATATTAATTGTTACAATAATTTTCCTTAATTGTTGGAAAAGAAAAAAAAATTTCCAAGCTCAGCTGATTTTCAAAATTCTAATTTCTTTGAGCCATAAAGTGGCTGGAAACTCATTGGCGGCGATAGATAAATTTTCCCATAGAAATTGAAGAAAATCAAATCACTTTTTCTCTCTCTCTTCAATCAATATTTCTATTAATTAATTGTCAAGATTTAATCTAATTCTCTGTTGAATAAAGTGAAACAATCAATTCTAATCACACCCTCTGTATCTCCATGTAGATGATCATGTTATCCCTACACATCAGCTGATCTTCAGTTGACTTTCTGGTTCTCAATTATGTTTACACATTAGAAGTGATTTCATTTTCTTATTTAATTGCAATATTTATTTCTGGTCAATGTGTTTCTAATTTATTTTAGATAATTAATATATCATCATCATCATCATCATCATCTTTTTGTTAACAAGTGTAAAAATTTAATTACAATTAAATTACTGTGATAATCAGAAAGGAAAACGCAAACAAGTAGAAAAGGAGAAAAGCAAATTAACCCAAAAGGTTTCAAGTTACTCTGGTCAAAGTAAATACAAAATATGTTTACTCATCTTACAATTTATTGATTTAGTTATGATGATCAATCCTGAGGGGTTAATTGTTTTTACCAATGTTCATTTTAAATTGTTTAACTGGTGATTTTTAATTGTCTTCCTTTCTCTTTCTCTTAAATCTTATAGATATAATTTTCCAAGAGTGTAACTTTCAACTGGTTTTCTGGTTTCAATCAGATGAGAACAATTTATTTGGTCAATTTAGATTAACCTGATTTAAATTGCTGGTGTTTATCCATTTTCTTGACTGTGTTAACCTACCTGTATTTATGTATAATTATCTCTCTTTCATTTTCTCTATCCACCTTTAATCTGAAACAATTTTCCATCTATTTTCATGGTCACTCCTGTTGTATAAACTTGAAAATCACCATCATAACAATCATTGGATTTTACTGATAATTATTGGTTAATTAGCTGAATATTTTAGACCAATTTGATTGACAATCCATTACAACACAATTGGAAACATTTTCAACGGTCTCAATTGGCTTGTTCCCTCACCACCTCAAGTACAATTTAACCAAATTGTTTGTTCATCATGAATCCAACAATGAATCTCAATTTACAAGCAATGTTACGATACAGTGAACTGCTCTTGGAACCAGAGGTCAAGAAGATACAATTAAATGATTGGCTGGACAGTTACAACATAGCCAAAGATGGACACCTAAAGCATATATTGAAAAAGTGTCTACCTCGAGTTGATTCATTAGAACCAACAATTATAATCAATTCAGTTGAAACTGATTGTATCTATGAAAGATGTGACCTTTTACTTGAACTGTTAAAAAGCCAAGAATCAGCTAAAGAATTGATATTTGAATGGTTAACCGAGCAAATTATTAACGATCCAAGTATTTTAATCAAGATTGATTGTCCAAATCATTGTGTTTGCAGTTTAAATACTCTTGGTATTGGTTTAATTGGTAAAGGTATCAAATGGCCCACCCATTTAAGTGTCAAGCTACTCAAAAGTTTCAACAATCAACAACGATGTGCTCTTAACACTTATCTTGATCTATTAACTGTTTCCATTGAATCAAATATAGACAATTATTATTATATTGAGCAACTTTTCACTGAATTAATTGGTAAATTAAAGCCAGCTGATTATATTAACCTGGATGGTACAATTGATGATAAACCCGAGATTATATTCAATGGGATATCTGATTGTCTTTTGTTGAGAAAATTTTTACTCAATCATTTGATGGTTTTAACTCGACTTGATCTTAATATCTTTCTGGTTGATTGTGTTGACCAACAATTAATGGCAATTGAAGAGTTGGCTTCCAATTCAATCCATTGGTCATTTCATCCGCTTGTTGATCTTTACCTTGAAAATGATTCGATGCTGTTGAAATGTCTTTACACTGTCGTTGAATTGCAAGGTTTCATTATTAGAAATGAATTAGCAGCTCATCAGTTTGTTGAATCTTTTGTTGATTCAGTTAATCATGATACTGGAATTATCATTGATTGGTTATCATCCGATTCTGAGATTGCTGATTTAACCCTTCGATTCCTGTTGATTTACCTTAAACTGCCAAACATTCAAACTAAAACTTCACCTTTGGTTAAAATTTTCTTCACCCAATTGTTGACCAGAATTGAAAATCTATGGAGAAATAAATTGTTCCCTTACAATCCAAGTGCCTTATTAAAGTATCAGGAGAAATTTAATTCAGACCAAACCAACAATTTAAATGGAGAAAATAACTAAACTTTCTTGATGATGGTAACAATTTTCTCAATCTTGGATTCTAAATGATGAGATACAATTTTCAAAATCTTGATTTGATTTTCTAATCAACCAATTGCTGTGGGAATTGATGTTTTTTTTACCTCCAATAATCAACAACTCAATTTATCGTCAACGTGTAAACAATTAACCATTAGTTAAATCACCTTGAATTCAACAAAATCAGTCATATGAAAACCATGGATTTTTATTTATCATCTTTATTGTGAAACACTTTTTCTCTGTAAACAAATAACAATTTACAACAATCAAATGCGAAAAATGAATCAATTCAATTGTACTAATCAATGTAATAGGTTTTTTTTACTCAGTCTAACTAATTATCAAGACCAGTATTCAATTTAAATGTCTCGTTCAAACTAAATTAACAAAGATTCAATTCTCTTGGTCGTTTATTTAATCTCCTCTACCTTTAAATTGTTGTTAATTGGGACCCTTTATCCAGAACTGTTTAATCAATCAATCAATCTAATTGTTGATCAAAAAAGTTTGAATTTGATTAATTTGAACCAAAAGCAGTGACATCTACCGGGTAATTATCTTAAATGATAATCAAAATTAAATTTTGAACATTTTAAAGCCTTTTAATTGATCAGTTTTAGTTGAAACAATCAATTTTTCTTGTAATTGCGTTTAAATTGTTAGTCATTTCAATCTGAATCTTTATTGTAACCATATATTGATACCAATTCCATGTTATTAATTTGTCTTCTTTTCCTAAACTGTTGTAATTAAATTTGATTCTTTTTAATCATAACTGTAAATTGTCAATTGTCAATTGTCAACATGGAAATGTTCAGTTCAGTGAAGCTCAACAATCATCAACTAATTCAATTGTCAATCAAGCTCGAGATATAAAAGGTTAGTGTTGATTATTTAATTTCTCATTGATCATTTTTCTGGTTTTAATTTTACTCTTTGATTGTGAGACAATTACAGTTATTAAATCACAATCATGGTGATAATCTGATCTTAATAAGACTTACATGTACCAATAGATAATCATGATTAGTTAAACTCTCCTGCAGTTAATTTAATGATGTAAATCCAATTACCAAGACATTATTTAGATTATCATTGATTATCAATAGATTAAGATTGACCATCTGAGTAGTTAATGATAATCACCACTGATTTAACACTCAATTTGAGTGATTATCAGGTTAATCATAATAACAGGTAGTCTCTCTTTACCAAATGGTCAGTATTGTCCAGTAGTGGACAATGTTTACCATTTCTTCATTGTTTCTATGTATTGTCTATCTATTGACTTGGTAAAATTGGTAAACTTTGACCTTAGGGCATTGAGGTAATTCACCAAAATGGACTCAGGTTGAAGGTCCAGAAAAAAAAGATGATCTTCTTGTCACATTGAGATAATTAAAAGATTATCAGTTTGACACTTACCCTAATTTACCCTTCACTTCATTTACCTTAATTTTCAATTGTTGTGTCCATCTCCTAATTTGCTTGACCATTTGGTCAAAATATCTTGAAAATTTTCAAATTGTCAAATTTGATTATTTTATCAGTTGTTTACTTAAAATCTGAATAATAATCAAAAATTGTCTTCCAACAATTTATTGATCAACCATATAGATGGAGGTTTTTTTATATTTCATTATCAGTAATTAACTTGATTATCCTAATACAGAACCAGCAACAATTGAACATTCAAATCAACCATATTGGATGATTATCTCAAGCTAATTGTGTCTCCTGTAAGAACAGTAAATTGCAACAATTAGGAATCAATGGTCATCCTAATCTCGTTCAACTTTGACATTTTCATCTTTTCACCATCGCCATCCTCATGTTCATTAATATCAAGTTGATTATTTTCATGATTAGCATCCTCATCCTCGGCCGATTCATTGATTGGGTCATTTACAGTGAGTCCAAAGATCATTGCATCAACGGGAACGGCAATTCAATCATATCGTTACTTGATCGGTTACCTGATAACTTGGAGTTAAATGAAGGGTCGTTGTTGGATCGATTTAATTAACTGGTTTTCTAACAATTAAGAGAAACAAAATAAATATAGTCAATAGGATATTGAAGATGACACAAATCTACTGTGCGGATTAAGGTGATAATCAATTTTAATAAAGTTCCAGGCCACAGAAAAAGATGAGAGGTTAATCTGTGTGAAGGATGATAAAGGATTAGAAAAGATTTTGTTTAGAAACATCTTCATCTTCATCTACCAAAGGATTATCAAATGCTCCCAGGGAGTTGAAATGGTTACTATTATTGTCTCACTGATGATAAAAAGAGAGAGAGAGAGAGAGAGAGAGAGAAAATCATCTCACTGACTCTCTCATTTTCTATTTCTCGTCACTTGTCATCAGAAACTCAGGTAGAACAAAAGTTTTAAGATGATAAGAAGAAAAAACCATCACCCAATCAGAGAAAAGGGAACTAATCTTTTCCCGTTCCTAAGAAAGAAAACTTTCACTTTTCTCTTTCTTCATCTTCCATCTTCTCTGTCTCTTCTCTGTCTTCTCTTTCTTTATTCTCTTCATCATCTTAATCACCAACAATTAACTGTAAATCTGACAAAACGCTCACACATAATAATCATAATGGTAACGATTTATTATCAGTCGGAGTTTTGTCTTCAACCGTGTCACTTGTTACAACTGAATCAATGTTCATCGTCACAATCAACATAAACAATTTTCATCGAAAACGATTTGACAATTAGTTCACTTCACAATTAACACACTCAATTTAGTTTCTCTAATCAAGAACAGTTAATTGTTATGTTTGTTTGTTTGGTGTTTTCATCCAAATCAATTTGAATGTTTCTATTGGTAAGTTAATCACAATTCCTATCATACCTTTTCATCAACACAATTTATTAACTGTTGACCATTTACTGACCATTCACATTGAGCAACATTTTCTTCATCATTTGTTACTTGTTTTTATTATTAAATTCTGATAAATTATCACAATTTTAATTTTCTTTTTAAATTCCTTCAATTCAACTAGTCAACTTATTATTTGGGTTCCTCCTTAATTATCATCAACAATTTACATTTTAGTTGATTAAAATTAATCATCTCAATCATGTTTTCAGTCATCTTATTGATATTATTGTTTATTGATGATCATCATCATGCTAATCAATAATTGTTGTTAATTTTTGTGAAAATTTAGCTGATTTTGTTATTGTTGAACCAAATTAAATCTTCACCCAAATGATTTGGTTAATCATTTGGACCAATTGGTCAACTAATCAACTAATTAAGATCACCTTATTTAAGGTGTTATCTTATTATTAGAATTGAATATGATCAAGTTTATCGATTTTCTTTTAATTGTTTCGATTTTGTTTGTTCTTGTTGATTATTTAGACCTCAGCGATTTATTTACTAACCATTTCGGTGACTTTGGTTTTATCGAGTCCCCTTCATCCATCAATGGGAAACAATAATGGTGTCAACGGGACATTAAATCATAACTATGACACTCGAGGAAGTGAAGGTAAACTCGATACTGGACCTAAAATGATGAGAGAGGAAATCCGTTCATCTGAAAATATTGTGACCGGAGGTTCGAGTGGGTCTTATATCGATCCATTAACTAAATCTAATCTTCCACTTCATCCGGAAGTTCATCTTACTGAAAGTCTGTCAACTTCCTCCACACCCTCACCATCAACAACACCTTCTTCAACCTTATCACCATGGGAAATATCATTCAAGAAACTGTTGATTCCAAGTAAAAATCAACAATCAAACAGCAACAACAATGGTGATGATGATGATCAATTGTCTCACCATCATCAACACCTTCATCACTTTCACCCTAACCATCAATATCCTTCAGCTAATAGCCGATTATCATCTTTATCTTCATCTTCTCCACCAACCTCATCAACTCCATCAAGTTCAACTCGAAAACAATCACGTCTCATTCATCACTTATCTCCACCATTAACAGTTAATCAAGGTCAAAATAATGGCCAACAATTAACCCCAATTAAGGACAACGATTCGTTCAATCAATTATCATCACCTACTTCCTCTTCTGGTTATACTGACGGTGTTAATCCTGATGGTCAATCACGATACAACCAACGACCACCTAAATCGGCCTTTCAATTTGATTATGATCAAGCCAATAAGAAAAAGTTAATACCCCAATCAAGTCTCAAAATATATTCATATCTATATTACTACTAATTACTATTACCTTGTTAAAAGAAAAGATAATTATTTTTGTAATTGTAAAAAGGAAAAGTCCTATATAATCATATAATATGTAAATATAAACACGAAAACTTGACCAACACCCAAAAAACCCATACAAACTTATTAACTTCATCTCTTCATCTTTAATAAATTGATAAAATTATTCCGATGATTAACAACACAGCCAATAGACATGACAATTAAATATAAATAAATTCTCGTGTAAATTGTTCACTTGTAGACTTTAAGAAACTAAATTAACAGAAATCAAATGAAATACAGAACAAACAAATTATACTTACCAATTTACTTGACCAAATTAATCAACCACAACATATGAACAGTTTTTCAATTTGATATTTGACATCATCCAAATTCATGGTTACCTATTAACTAATCAACGGTTGGTCTTGGAGACAAAAGAAAACAAGTTAATCAACAATTAATTCAACGGTTTTAACTGCAACGTTGAAGAAAACAAACTGTGTGAAAAAAAATTAGAAAACAAATCAACTAAATTAAATTAAATCCGTTGGTGATTTAAATCTAATAAAAGTCACTTTTTGTTATCCAAAGAGAAAAGATAATTGTTACATTCTAATTAGACTCTGTCTTCTTCTCTGTCTATTTTCTTTCTTTTTTGTTCTATTCTTTTTTGCCTCCATTTTGATTTCTTTTCATTTTCACTTTTTCTCTTTTCGATTTCATTTGAAATCTTTTTCCTTTTCCCTCTTAATCAATTTTACTTTTTGGTTATTTCTTTTTTTTGCTAATTGTTGTGTAAATAATTATTCAATTTTCTTTAAACTTAATTACTAACGATTATCAATTACGTTACTTTTGATTTTGTTTTCTTTTATATGCCATTGGTTTAACTTTTTTTTCTCTCTCTGTGTGTATCTTGGTTTCTCCTTTGTTTCTCTCTCACTTTATCTTCATCACTTTTATCTCGTTCTTTCTTGTGTTGATTCATCTTTCTCCTCTGTTCCTCTGATCCTTTGTTTCTTTTTTTCCCCTTCTTCTAAATTTACTTGGAATTATGTCCAATAAGAAATTTTATCCTTCCCCCATTGAAAAGAGAGAGGAGATGCAACGACAATGGTTAATTGAATGGTATTCAATTAATTATGATATTATGCAGTTTTGTGATATTCCTTGTTTACCGCCACTTGAAGGATTGGTTCATGCTTTAAAAGATGAAAAATCTATTGAAAAGAGACTAATTTCTAGACCATCGATTGACAGTTCTCCTTCCGTTTCTTGTTCATCTGAAAGTCAAGGAGGATCAACAAGTGGTGATGAGAAAGCTCCTAAACGTATTCATGTTAGTAACATTCCTTTCCGGTTTAGAGAACCTGATTTAAGGAAACTTTTCGGCAATTTTGGAACAATTTTAGATGTAGAAATTATATTTAATGAACGTGGCTCCAAAGGCTTCGGATTTTTAACCTTTGCTCATGCTGATGATGCTTTACGAGCTAAAGCAGAGCTTGATGGTACCATGGTTGAGGGAAGGAAAATTGAAGTTAACGATGCCACTGTTAAAGGTCAAGCTAAAAAGACTAAAGATCCTACATCACCAACCAAGGAAACTGATTTCTTCTTATCCAGTGACTTTGAAGTTATTCCTCCGGATGTTAGTCGTAAAATCGCTGGTGGCGATGGTAAAAAGTTTGTCGACAATGAGTGTTTTAGCAACCACACAATCAATTCTGCTAAAGTTAAACGAAATCTTAATATCAATCTGGACGAAATTTATCCATTGGAAAATAAAACCCTGGATATTAATAACATGAATAATCTTGATTATGCTGATGATCTTTTCTCAAGCAGGCAAGGATGTTATCTTGCAGATATTTTTGAAAGATTCTGCAGTACAAGTGATAAATCACAATTACGAGGTATCTAAATCTGATTAATAACCATTGATATTAATATTTATCAATTGCTGTATTAATTTCATTTTAAATTGTCAACCAATCAACTCTCCGAAGTCAAAATCAATTTCCTCCATCACCTTCTTCATCAATTTAATCCTCTTAAAATGTTAAAAACCAACCCACTTTGCTAAAGCCAAGGTCAGATCCATCAAATTTAAACACATCAGAAACCTTAATTAATTAATTGAATATTTAACCCTCATCATCATCATCTAATTATTGACTAAATTGTATCCTAAACAAACTGATTAACTTTTAAAAAAACCAAAGATCTCACTTACAAGCTTCTCTTTGAAAAATTTCAATCAATTTCAATAGTTTTTGTTTCAAAAAGTAAATTACCCGAACATATGTAATCCCGAAGATTTAATTCCAAAAACCAATTGTAAATTAATGATGGAAAAACTCACATCAGCCGATATTCCATCTCAGAATTTATTTTAGATTAAACAGTTAATCGTATTAAGTGTAAAACTTAATTTGACTGTAAATCATATTTAACATGAGAAAAAGAATATAAGTTCAAACCTGTTCACATTATCTTCCAGTACTCGTCATGATGAGACTCAGTGCAACCATTCGCGGTTTCCACCAGAGGGTAAAACTAATGACGGTGCCTTCAATCCTGAACACGGGTACTAATTTTATTGATTAAACAATCAGTTTATTAATTTTGCTGGTCTAACTAATTGGTTTGCTACAGATAGTGAGTTTTAAGCATAATGAGAATGGTAAAGAAAAACAGATAAATGAATGAGAGATGAATTGCATTACATTCCATGTACCATGTAGTATTTGGATATATAGATTGATATATGGATTGATTATAATGTAAACGCAATCGTCATTTTGGGTAATTGGTTGATTTGTCAAAATCGTCAAAGTTTGATTAGTTTTTTGATGTTTTGGTCTTTTTCTGGGCCATTTTTCGAGTTTTCATACTACGTTGAGAGCTTTTCTCTTCTTTAAGATCACCAATTAGTTTGAGTGGGTCATCCAAAATTTCAAGATCAATCGATTGAGAGGGTTTTAATAAAGTTCTTCGTTGCGGTGGTTTATCTTGAGAATTGCTTATCTTTTCCTTTTCCTTTTCCTTTTCTTTCTCTTTTTCTTTCTTTTTCGATGACATTTCGTCTACTCTCTCTTTTACTCCCATAATGTCAAAATAAGCATCCACCATAGAACTGGTTGAGGCTTTTGAATAATCCGACTTGATGGGTGTCAATTGTGGGCGCATGTAAAAAGTAGTCATCTTCTTAGTAGTTGGATTTTCCTGTTTAACAACAAGACCCAATGTTTCCAAAGACTGGTCTGTATCAGAATCACCACTTTTTGGGCTGAGATGACCTTCATCTTTTTTTAAAGACTTTTGAAAAGTCAAATCATCACTCGATTCTCTTTTCTTTTCCTGAGTGCTTTGTGATACCTTTGGTGTTTTATCTTTAATTGGAGTCGCTTCCATTTTTTCAGGAACAAAATATTGACTTTGAGTGAAGCAATCATCATCTAGTCCAATGGTTAATGGTTGTGAATCCTTTAGACTTTCATTTTGGGTTGGGGTCACCAAGAGACTATTTTGCTCATTGTTTTGAGATAATATGGATTCAGATATCTCAGTTAATGGCTCACATTTGGATTGAGAGTTGGAGATTGGCTGACTTGTATTTTGAACAGGATTATCAAGATTCTCTTTTTTATCTTCTTCGGTACTTACATTCTCATAGACCTGAGAATGGTTCTTTTCGTCACTCAGCTCAATTCGCTCTTTTACCACCAGATTTTTGGCACTATCATCTTGAAATGGACTTTTATCACCAACAAGAGTTTGAATTGTTCCCATAATGGGTGTCTCGTTATCTCTTTTTTGTTGAAAATCTTGTGATTTCTTAAAGTTGGCACCTCGAAGTGATGCTTGTTCCTTCAAGAATTTAATCTTAGCTCGAGCATCAGCTATTTCAGAATCAAGTTCACTTTCTTCATCGCTTTCAGAATCATCGTCCCTGTTGTTTTTCCACATCTCGAATTCTTTTTCGATAAAATCAGCTCGTCTTGAATCATTTTCGTTATCAGCAACAAGTTTCGCAGTCTCTTCATCTGCATTCATAATATTAGTATCAGCTTCTTCAATATGTTTAGCCAACTTGGAAATATAATCCATAGTTTCATTGTTCGATTTATCAAACATCATTTTTCTGGTATCAATCCCTAAACTTAATTTGGCAGCTTGATCGGAATAATTTTTATAGCTTTCATCAAGTTCGATTTCTTCTTTAGAAAGTTCAGCATGTGCGTTTTCAAGCTCTTGGATCTTTTTTTCACTAAGCTCGATTTCAGCTTTAACGTTGAGTAAAACTGAATAACTTTTCTCGGTGATTGCAAGAGTTTCGTTAAATGGCTGGATAAGTTGATCAAGTTCTGATTGTTGTCGACAAGCCGCAAGCCAGGCAGTGTCCAATTCTTTTACTGCCAATTTTGAGGTGAGATTTGCAGCTGCAGCTTTCTCAAGTTTTTTGTCCAAATCCTTTTTCAAACTCTTTTTTTGTTCAATTAACACCTTCTTGTTGAAATAATCTTTTTCCATTTCACGTATAATTGTCTTCTTTTCCTCAATCTGTTTCCGTAAATCTTCACATAGAGCCTTTTTCTTGTCAATTTCTGGATCAAATTGATCCTCCCAGGCTAACATTTTTTTCCGAAGTTCATCCATTATAGAGAATCTAGAGGCCATCAACTGTTTACTCTTGGAAGATTTCTCGTCCAAAATATCTTTCAACAAAATCAAATGGTGATTAACCGTAAGTAAAGATTGCATCTCTGATAGAATCCAATCCAGGTTAGTGGTAGTGGACACAATTTCTCCCAACGAAACACCATCAGTAGACTTAATTTCGTCAATAATATCGTCAATTTCTTTCCTTTTAGCTTTAAGCTTGACAATACCAGCATCCGATTTATTTTTTAAATAATCAAGTTGCTGTTTATTTGACTCTAAACGAAGAGCAATCATCTTTTTTTCGTCTTCTCTTTCTTTTATTTTATCCATTTTTTCACAAGAGAAGGAGCAAATTACCAATTCGAATCAACACCTTCACCAATAGTAGAAACAAAACTTCAAAAATAACTTTATTAAAGGAAGAAAATAAAAATCAATGAAACGCAATTAACAAAAAAGAAAAGAAATTAATTTGATTAACTTGCAACCGATTGAAAGGTTAACGTTTAAAGAGAACAAAAAAAAGTTCGATTTATAGAACAAAAAATCGAGCGCCAAATTCAATAGAATAAAAGATGGCCGATTTTCGATTGTTTATCTTTGGTCATTTTCTTTGTTCTCCTTTAATTGAGTAATTAAATTTTTCTCTTAATTTAATTGTTTTAAATTAACATTAACCAGGATTTCTAATGCTGTTAATCTCTTGTTCTTTCAAATTAAACCGCGCAGAATTTAAGTTGAACCGGTTTAGTTACTTGGTAACAGTTGATGTTGATTATTTTCCTTAGTGTTTGTTGTTTGTATGTTTTTAATTGTTGGCGATTTAATTTTGGTTAATTATGTCACTTTATGGTATTCAGGCTATTGTTTTAGCCGCTGGTCGAGGGTCAAGGATCCCTGAACTGGTCTCATCTCAACCAAAATGTCTTCTACCTGTTGGTAATCGTCCAATGATTTACTATCCACTTTACTCATTAGAATTGGTTAAATTTACTGGTAAGTTTTTCACTGATTGACTTGTTAATTGTTTCTTTTAATTTTAAATTCTAAAGACTAATTTGTGTAAATTTTTCCCTTTCTTTTATTAGAGGTTACTGTTGTGGTTAATGAAGGACAAGAGGAAGCTGTGAATGAGGCGATTCATAATCAATTTTCAATGAGAATTCATTTATTTACATTACCCAATAAAGATGAAGATTATGGAACCGCTGATACATTAAGATTTATGCATGAACATAACAAAATTTTGGTAATTTCCTGCAAATCTATTAGCCATTTCCCAACAATTTACTAATCAATGAATCTTTCTCTATCTTTCAGAGCGATTTTATCGTCATCAGTTGTGATATTATGACCAATTATCCTCTATACAAATTGATTAATTTATATCGTGTACATGACGCTGCGATTACTGTTCTACTCTCATCTACAAATATTATCGCTGAAGGTTCAACCCCTGGAAAGAAAGGAAAACCCGAATTAGGTATTGGATTGATTAGATGAAAAAAGAAAAAAAAAATCTCTGTCAAATTGTCTCAATAAATTCTAATACTCTGTCTTTGTTTTTTCCTTTCTAGAAAAAGATCTTATCGGTATAGATTATCTTAATGATGATCGATTAGTTTTCTTCAATTCTGAACTTGAATTCGAAGACGATGTTCCATTCAGCAGTTCCATGTTGAAAAGGTAAACTTTGGAAGAAATGAAATGTCATCTATCATTCAACTTTCATCTAATTCTAAGTGAAATTTCATGTTGATCATTTTTAGATGCCCACAGTTCACTATGCACAATAGTTTCCTCGATACTCATGTTTATGTTATGAAAAAATGGGTCCTTGGATATATCAAAGAGAAAAGGTAATTATAACCAATTATCACAATTTTCCATCACTCGATGTATTGATTATTTTTCTTATTTCATAATTTCTCAGGCAAATACGATCAATTAAAGCAGATCTCATCCCAAGATTGGTTTGTAAACAATTTAAAAGTTATGTCAATATTGTTTCCAATAAAACAAATGATGATCTTGATGCTGATAAAGGAGATAAAGTTGACCTGTTAGATTATGTTGAAACCGATGAAGTATATAAAGCAATTGAAGCTTTAGACGATTTTAATCTTGACCATGAGACAATTAAACCGACAACTCGAGAGAAGAAAAAAATTTACCCTGATAGTGCGGTTAAATGTTACGCTCTTATCCAAAAGGAAGGAATCAGCCTTCGAGCCAATACTGTGACCGGTTATTTTGAGGCCAATAAACGGATTCGAGCTCTTTTTCCTAATCTACCCAAGAAAGAGAAAGGTTCAGTCCCGACAACACCGACAACCCCAACTCCTGGACCAGCGATTAAAACTCAAATCGGTGCTGATTGTCTTGTATCTACTTCGAGTAGAATTGGAGATAAAACCTCAGTTAAACGTTCATGTATTGGTGATCATTGTATTATCGGGGAAAAGGCCAAAATTGCTAATTGTGTTCTCATGAATCATGTTACAATTGAAGATAATTGTAACATACAGGGTAGCATAATTTGTAATAACGCTGTCATTTGCTCATCTGCTGAAATCAAGGATTGTATTGTTGTCGCAAGTCATAAAATAGTCACTTACGGTAAGAAATTGGTTAATTTAATTGTTTTCGTATGAATATTTTCACGATTACTAAATTTGTCTGTTCAATTTTCTCATTTAATCACAGGTAAATTTTCCAATGAAGTGATACCATCAACTTTTGTCGATGCCACTGATGATTTATAAACGATAATTTAATTACTATTATTTGATTAAGATGAAAATTTTCCATAAAGTTTAAATTGTCTTGTAGTCGTAATCAATTTGTGAATTTGATACAATCTACAAAAGTTAACAACCAAATTAGAAAAGGACAATGAAAAAAGAAAACAATCAAATAATCAACATAAATATAACCCTAATTAATTTAATCACATCATTAAATCAATGATCATCAGTTTCATGATTTGCATCATTAATTAAATGGGTAAATTATCCTACTCGAACTTTTTAATTGCTGATAAACTTGATTGATTTCATGATAACCATTTGATTGTAATAGACAAGAGGTAATATCCTAATATTGATCGAATCTTTAATTATCATCTGATTATAATAATCATTGATTAACTCTTGTAATTAGCATACAAACTTAATCCTGAACGAAAAAAAAAATAATCAATTTGATACAAAGTTTCAAGATTCAATCAAAAGTTTTATCATCAAATGAATAAAACATTTGACTATTGATTAACAAAAAGCTATTACACTTTTTGATAATTATCAAAGTCTATCAATTTAATTATTAAAAGAGTTAAATTGTTAGATATTCATTAATCAAGGTTAATCTTGAATGAAACAAATTTCCTAAATCCCTTAAGATTAACAGAGTAAATAACAATTACCAGATTAATGTATCCCCAAGGGAAATGTAAACTAATATCAATTGTTACATGAAACAATTACCATGAAGATTATCATGAGATAATTGCTGAGTTTTAATTACTCACAATAAATAATTATCTTTTTGTTTTCGTCTCAAGAGTAAACATTTAACCCTCTCACCCATTCCCAATGATTAACATTCATCAATTTAAGACAAGAAATTGAGTCAAACAATTTAACAATCATCAATGGTTAATCATAACTTTTCTTATGGTAGAAAAAGTGAAAATTGTTTAATCAAATTTAATCAGAGAGACTTAATTTTTCACAGAAAATGAAAAAGTTATTCTAATCAATATAATCCAATTGATATAATCTCTTATTCAATCTTGCACCTTAATCGTTTTTGAAAAGGGTCAAATTTACATAATCAATATTTTAACCAATCAATTGATTGGAAAATTGAATCAATCAACTAAAACTAAACAAAATTAACTCCAATTAACGAACGACCTTTTTACTCACCAGATGGCGATATGAATTTAATTTCTTTTCTAAATTGTTCTAAGTTAATTTGTTTCTAATTATTTTCCTAGTGAATTTAATCACAAACAATTATTACGATTCAGAAATTTTCTCATGACGATTGAAGAAAAACTAAGCCCACCACCCACTAATACACAAAAAAGTTGTTCTTTATCCTGATGATGAATAAAAGTAAAAAAAAGAAACAAGAAAATCAAATGTTGATGTCGAGTAAGATGAAGATCAAATTGAGACAAAAAAGAGAAAAAGTTGAGACATGAATCAAAAAGTTCTCATGGTTCCGCCCGGGATCGAACCGGGGACCTTTTGCGTGTAAAGCAAACGTGATAACCACTACACTACGAAACCAGTGAAAGAAAATTAGTCGATATTGGTGACCAATTGAAAAGGGTTCGTCCCGACTCGTCGGCTTTTTGTCGTCTGCTTAGCCGTTCAATAGCTTGAGGGCTCACGTGTTGTACTCGTTTTCTTGATTGTTGGTGACAAATTTAAAATGAGTTCTCTGGATAATTGTTGTGATTAAACTCGCTCTCAATGTTTGAGTTTAAATAACGAAAGTGGGACAGTTTTTGTTTCAACAATTTTTTTATTCTTTTCTCTTGTTTTGTTTTTCTTATTTAAATTACCAACGGATTTATGGATTTAATTTTTGGGTTTAACATAGAAATCAATTTAATCTTAACCGTTGGATTAAATTAAATTGTGGTTAGAGAGAGAGAGAGAAACAGTCTCACTCTTTTGTTGTGCCTTTTTAATTTGAACGATTCTCACATTTTCATTGGCGAGACAGTTAAGTGAATCTCTTAAAATAAGGTAACAAAGTAACACTTTGACTCATGTTAATAGTTGATGATTAATATGGTGCGAATCTGTTATAAGCTCCTCGGAATAAACTTGCCTGGATTAGGATTAAGACGAGACAAAAACAGAAAACAATTAATAACAACAATTAAGGTGAGTAAATAAATTAAATCTTTTTTTCTCTCTTTTTCCTCTGATTGATATTCTATTCTACTCACCGGAATTGGATATCTCTCAGGCCCATGAGGAGAAAAGCCTATAAATGGATCTTGATAAACCGTCTTAATACATTGTAATTTACTACTTTTTATTACAGGTAAACAATTTTTCTTGCTGTTATTTCTCGCTCTTGCATTATTAACCTGAATATTGGATAAAAGATTAATCTTATTTGGTATTTTGTTCTTTTAGAGAAGGAAAGATGAAAGTGAGAGAGAGAGAGAGAGAGAGAGAGAGAGAGAGAGAGAGAGAGAGAGAGAGAGATTGAAACGAAAAGTGGATGAATATATGGAAAGGAAGAAACGAAAAGAAATGGAGATGAACTTATTCCAATGAATTTACCTCGATCTTTCTTCCCTCTACTATGGAACCATTGAGCTGATCTTGAGCTCTTTCCGCATCCATGGAATCAGCGAAAGTTACAAATCCAAATCCCTGTGAAAAATTGAACCAAAAGGAATCAGTTTTTATTACAATTTGATTGATACGTGATTAAGGAGATGATTTCAAAGGAAGGTGAGAAAATTTTCTCGTAACAATTTGATTATTCTCTTTACTAATCATTTTATTACTTTATTTATTTATTATTTATCCAAACAGGAATGATAATTATGATGATAAAACCTGAGATTGATTAATTTTAATACTATTTATTAATGGAGAGAAATTTGATCATTGTTTATGGACCCAGTTCAATTGAATTACTTTGTATAAGAATAATTGAATTTCCTCTCTCTCTCTCACTCAATTTTTCTTCCCACTCAACTATCGTGTCTCTCAAATCTATCGCCCTGATTACCCATGTTGATGATAATTGAATAATTGATTTGCTACTTACCTTTGATCCACGTTCGTTAAAGATAATCTCAACATCAATTATCTGTCCAAATTGCTGTAAGTATAGAGTGAAAATATTGTTGATTAAGATTTGTGATAACATTACGTTGTATGTATGTGTGTGTGTGTAGGTTTACATTGAACTGTTTTTGATCAAATCATCACAATCATGAAATTGAGATGATGCTAATGATTAAGGAAAGATAAGGTAAGATGATCATGATGATTACAAGGTAAATAACAAACAATACCCAACAAGATTATGATTTAATACATGGAGATAAAAGGATTTTATTTAAGCTCTCAGTTAATTCAACTAATCAAAGTGAATAAAAAATCCCATGAATTAAACAATAATCTAGAAATAGGAAAACAACAAATAACAATACCTATTAATATAATTTAGTGAATTATTATTTGTTGGAACAATGAAAATTAAGTGTTGGTTTTGTTTAACAATTTCCATTGTAAATTGAATTGATCTAATTCAGTTTCAATCATGATGATCAAGAAAAATGTTCCATACATTTAAAATACTAAAGTAGAGTCAATATATTTACCAATATTGATAACAAACGAACATTTCTTAACTCATTTATTCTGTTCTCTTTTCATCTTATTCTTTTCAGATATTCTCTGTTTCCTGATGATCATAATGTTCCTCATCAACCTTATCATCATGTTGATGTTTCTATTCATCGTAAATAAAGTTACCAGCAGTTAACCAGAAGACAAGGAAAAGAAGGAGAAAAAAAAAAATGTTGGATCAAGATGGAAATTGACAATAAACGGAGGAGATGAAGAAAAACAAATTTGTGTCTTCATGAAAACAATCAAAGAAAAGAGTATGGAAAGTGAAACAAAGAGGAAAAAGAAGGAAAATATTATGACAAAGTAATACGATGAATTCTGGAAATAGACGAAGACAGATCACAATAATCGCTTGTCAAAGTTATATCTTCACGTTAATAATTTAAAAGCCATCAACTCAACATCACAGAGATTCTTTCAGGTTTTCAATCTCTCTTTCTCTCTCTTATTATTTTGGACTAATGTTTACATGGATAATTTATCATGATTGTAACCCAATTTGAATGGAGAGAATGTCAATTAGATTATCAAAAGGACATCGAGGGAAAGATGAAGGAGATCAACAAAGGTTGAAGAGATAAACAAAATACTTACACCAAAAAGTTGCCTTAAATCAGGATCACGAAATCTAAAGGGTATATTACTGACATGCAATCTTTTCGGTTGATTGATGCCACTAGAAGTGAGACCACAATTGATTGGTATAATTCCACAATTGGTTTCAGAATCATTTCGTTCGAATCCACCTCCATTCTCTCCCGGACAACCTCCTCTTCTCATCAAATCTTCATCAACATCAAGATCAGTTTGCTAAATCATAATCAAGAGTAATTCCGCCATTCCAAAGGTGTTTGAATTAGTTTTTCCCCGGCCAATGATTGTTTATTGTTTACCAGTAAAAGTCAATGGAAAAAGCAAAGTATAAGAAACAAAGTTAAAGGAAATACCCAAAATCATCAAGATCAAATTAAATGATTCAAGAGAATTGAATGACAAGGAGGATTCACAGGGTATGAGGAAGCAGATAGAAGGAGAAAAGTAAAGGAAATTGTAAAAAAATACACCGAGGAAAAAAAAGAAACTAGTTACAATGGAGAGATGGTGATGATAATGGAAGAAGATGGAATAAGATGAAAAAAGAAAGGAAAAAGATATAAACACAAATAACAACGAGAAGGAGCAACAACATGGAAAGAAAATCTTGAGATTCATAAATGAAATTCACATAATAGTTGAACTACGGATAAATCAACAGTAATGTAATTCTCTTTACTTTTTTTTTGTTCTCTTCTTATCATCTTGTTCATTTTATTTATTTCATTTCATTACTCTATCATCATCATTATCATCTCCATCTTCCGTCATCACTCCTTCAGATTCTATTACTAATAATTCTCATTCTTTCATGTTGCAAAAAAAGTTTTTCTCTTCATATTATTTCTTATTATTGGTATTTTCTTATTGTGTTATTTAGTTTTTTTTTCTCTGTCATTATTATTATTTTCTTGTGTTTTTATTTGTTTACTTTTAGTTATTTCATTGAAAGTTGGAAATTTGAAGTTCAATCGGTGGAGATGCTGAGAAGAAAATCTTAACAATTTATACTGATTCAAGAGAGAGAGATGAAAGAAAAACAATCCTCAGGTATTGAGAGAAATTATATTTGGTGGTTTTCATTTTCATGATGACTTTCGATGTATCATAACTCATTGGAATTGGAACTTTCAACTATTCGAGAGCGAAATCCCAACAAAAAGGTCAACTTACCGTTTGTTGTTCAACTGCATTCGATTTCCTAATAATTGGTGAACTAAGGCCATTAACGAAGCTTTGATCAGTTGAGTTGATTTTATTATCATTGTTATTATGTTGATTATTATCTTCATCGTTACAACTATTGTGATTATCGTTAATGTGATTATTAATTGTTGATGGTGATGTAATTTTTGTTACTGTAACTGGCAATGTTGTAGGTGATAATGTTATTGGTGAAGATGATGAGGATGAAGGTGATGATAATAATTTAGTTGATATATTTTTGGCACGGTTGATAATAGTGTTATTATTATTGTGATTACTATTATTATTGTTAACATTATTGGGATGATGATGATGGTGATGTAGATTATGATTAATTTGATGGTGATGATGATTGGACAGACTGGTGATCATTGAAGGTGAGTGGTGATTATTGTAAGACAATGAGGTTAAAATTGAACTACCAGGTCCAAGTTTATCTGTTAATCCATCTGAATGGATTAAAAGTCCACCATTGGTAATATCATTACCATTAATCCTATAAGATAAACCATTAAATGTAACATGATTTGACTCCCCACCCACCGATGGGGTGGTGGGCTCACAAAGGAAACCTCCATTTGATTGTGTGGATTGACTTAATGATGAGCCAAATTGTGGATATGGTGAGCAAACACTTGTCATTGGATTAACTAATTGCTGAGGCTAATAATAAGCAGATAATAAAAACAAGGATAATTGAATTAGTTTAACCACCATACCAATTAAAAACAACTCACACCAATTCAATGGTAACAATACAAATCCAACTTAATCCGTTAAAGGTAAATTATTATCATTTTTTATTAATCATTATAAACCACTAATTGTTGATCAATTACTCTTAATGAATTGTGATCAAGTTTCAGTAATTATTATACACTAAGTAAGTAACAATTATGGTTGATTGTGAAACCAATTTACTTGCTATATTTATAAATAGAAATGTTTATCCTCACAATTATCATTACAATGATTAAACCTTATTGTTAATCCAATGGTAACAATTGTTATTATAATTTTCTATTATTATTATTATATGAGAAACTAATGATAATCTTTTGCTTTTGTTTTCTACTATTAATTTTTACATAGAAAGATACAAATGGAAAGTAAAAGTTTACAAGGAAAAGGTGGAAACATTATCAATAACAATGCCCCATGAAGATGAAAGCAGATTGAAGTGGGAAGTTGACAAAGAATTAGGAAATTGTGATGAATCCGAATGGAGAACATAAGAAAATGATTATTGTGAATTGAGATAATATTCATTTCACAATGAATTGGGTATCAATAATATGGAAGAATAAGAAGATGATAAAGAATAAGAGAAAATCAACTTGACTGAATCATTCTTAAGATAATCATCTGAGCATATTTGGAATTCTCGTCTTTTTATATATATAATATAAGAATATAATGTAAGAATATTTTCTCATCTTCTTTTCTTTTTCTAACCGTTTTCTCTTGACTCTGTCCTTTTTTCCACCTCCCACCTCATCCTTTTCTTCATCTTCTTTCAGTGTGGGTAACCAGATAACTGATGTTTAATGGATAGAGTGAAAAATAATGGGAAAAAATGGAAACCATGGATTTCATGTTCATCCTGTCCATTGAATACTGAACAAGAGATTAATTTGAATTTCAAATAGATTGTAAAAGGAAACCAAAAGGAGGAGATAAAGATGTGTGTATGTTTAAACCATGGCAACGAGAATGATGATCACCATGATAAAGATGAAGATAAAGAGATGATAAAAAGGAGAAAGGAACAAGAGTTAACACTAAACTGAATCTTTTTGCTTACATTAGATGAAGAGGAAAAAAGCATAAGTAAAAATTATGATTTTTTCTTCACATGAAGTTTATTTGTTATCAATATAATACCAACAACAATCAACCCGCTAATTCAATTCAATTGTGATTGTCTGATCAATTTCAAACTCTCCATCAAACTTTTGATTGTTTCTTTATCGTATCCAATACCAACGATTGTGATGGTTATAAGATGATCAGGAAAAAGCAAAATAATACTCAGAGAAATCAACTTACAATCAACAATTGGAATTGTTGTCGAAATGATGAAAGGAAAAAGATGAAAATAATTATCTTGTTACAACAATGAATTACTTTGTTAAATTGTTGAAATTTTTCATGACAATGATAAAGTAACATGGTTATCGTTGAAAAATTACATTCCTGTTGAAAATCAGTAATGATCATGATCAACAAATCTTATTATCGTTACATTAATGATTGTAATTGCTTTTTTTCATAAACTGTATTAATATATTACCAAGAGGATATGAAAAAAAAGTAAATTGCAATCATGAACCATGAAGATGATGATTTGTAAAAAAATAACAGATTAAGTTGCAACTGAATTTATCTGAACATGATTAAGATAAATATTTACCCTGTTTCAACTGAATCAAGTAATCAAAGTGGTCAATTGATTGATAATATTCAATGTTTATATTTGTATTAATTTTGTTTTATTTGCCAATATTACTAATCACTAGTAAGTTGATTAATTATCAATCAAGTGAAAAACCCACTTAAACTAAATGTAATTAAATAATTTAAAACGTTCATGTTGATCTATGTCAATCATTGGTAAATAAATACCACTGAAATGATTAACTATATGTAAGGTAAATTAATCAATTGTTGATTGAGAAGTTTGAGTTAAATTAAGTAAACAAAATGATTTAGTTTCCTTATATCTTTTGATTGAACAATTAAAAGAAAATGAATCAAACCTTTGATCAGATTGACTTTTTCAGTTGCCTGTTGATTAGTTGGTTGGTTTAATGTGAATCAACAAACTGGATTAACTAAATTTGGTTGATTGCTTTATATAAAATTGTCACTTTTACTATCATCAGTATTGATTGTCCAATTTAACAGTAACAATCACTTTTAATTACAATCAATCAGCTCAGTCAATTGTTAATATATTAGTTAATACAGTTATCATTTAATGATGGAAACTGTTTCCAATTAACTTTAATCATGATGGATTTAATTTCTCAATTGCTCTGAGTTTTATACCACCCAAATTTACAATTAACCTGAAAGGTGTGATGACAATTAATTCTGATGATGATAATAAGCTGATTGTTTGTTTATCATTATCACGATATTATTAAAATTTTATCCAATGATTATGGTTGTGAATTAATTTCCATCATGATAACAATTATAATTTAGATTATTATGAGAATGATAAATATTAATATAATTTGATATTCAACAATTATCATGATAATTTCTAAGATTCTGATCACTTTTTTTTCATGTAATTTATTTATTTTCATCAAGAAATCGAATAATGAATTGGAATATTTTTTTTCTATTTCGAAATTGTTTTTCTTTTCGAAAAGAAAAAAAAACTTAATAAACTTTTTTTATATTTACATCGAGTTTCAAAATGGTTCAACTAATTCATGAGATAATTCAAATTATCATGTTTATCATTTTCCTTTTTCTTGTTTATCTGAACCAATTGTCAACATTATTCATCATCAATTGTTATCATGATAATGAGAGAGAGAGAGAGAGAGAGAAGGTTAGAAGAGATAAAAGTAACATATTAGATTCTAGGAAAAGTTCTGGTTGAGAAATGGAAGGGAAAATGTTATCGAATATTTTATAACATGATAATCAGTTGAACATTTTTCGCTTATTATTTTGATGAAAATTCTCATTCATTATTGTAAAGATATTGAATAAGAATGAAGGTTGATAACAATAATCGCAAGTGAGATTCATGGTGAGAAAAGTGTATCAGGTAAAATGGGTGAAAATATTGAGATAAAAGGTGAGAAATGATGAAGATAATTTCCTTCTTCCGGGTAACATTGAGATTCTGCTCATGAATAAAACTCTGAATCGGCCATTTCCGAATTCATATCATCATCATGGTGTATTTTTTTCTCTCTCGCTCTATCTATCTCCTATTCTGCATAAATTGTGATTCTCAATTTCATCTTTTTTTTCTCTCACTCATGTGGTTGTTTCATGAGAGATACTCAGGTAATCATCATGATAAATATCGATAAGTATTCATATGGAAAATAAGATTTTGAAATAATGTATATTGAATCATTTGGAGGATTCTCTTGGCGAATGATAGAAAAAAATATATTTTCGATCTATTTTTTCCTCTCTCTAATCTCATTGAAAACTTTTCTTGAATATTTTTCCATGAATTTCTCATGAATTTTCAATAGAAGTGAGAGAAAAAATAATAATAAAAAACAAGAAAAGAAAACAAAACATTTTCTTCATCAAATTATCATAAACATTGATCCGTAGGTGTATTTATATCATCAGAATCAAATTAATACTCCAACAATTGGCTTATTATCATGAGTTTACATAATCAACATGGTAGCTGATTGTTCAGAATTGTTGATTAAAAATTCATTTGTTTTTTTTTGCTTCTTCACTACAACTAAATTGATTTTTGCTTATTCTCAACAATTTAAAGTTATCACAATGTAGATACAAAATTTAGTATAATGATTAAACTGATTAGTTAATGGAGAATAAATTAACTTGTCAGAATTAAATTTGATTGTCATCACAATATAATGACAACTGTCAGTTTCATTGAGCAAAAATGTTCACCAGTATAAAATTAATTAAACTTTTTGATTCGATTACAATTTATATTAACTGTATTGTCAACAGCATAATAATGTTGAGGAAAAAAAGTTCATCCTGATCATGATCACAATTGACCAACAGCAGCGTAAATGAATTAACAATTAACATTAAGTATTAATTTATAACAAAAAAAAATGAGTGTTGATTGTGATGATCAACAGAGACACTTAGATGATAATTGATTTAATTCTGGTCATTTGTTATGTGTGAATATAAATTAATTGTTTGAATTTGTGATTACGATTATAATCAAGGTGTAAACAAATGGAAATGACCTGAGTGATAATTACGTTACCATCAATATTAAATTACTGACCCATTGTTGAAAGTCAAAGGCATTGATATTATTTGTTGAATGATTATCATCATCATCATCCTTTGATTGTAGTGAGTAAATATGATTAAGAAGACAAATGATGATCATTATCATCATTGAGATGAAATTTCTTGTAAATGATGAACAAGATGCTCCATATATTATCATCATCATCATCATTATCATCATCTGAAGATGATAGTTACTCTGTTCTGGTAAAATGATCAAGTAGTTTATTCAGTTGATCATCAGGAACGTTAAATACTCTTAGAGTTATAATCAAATTTACTTAAACTAATCAATGAATCTTTGAATTTATATATCATCATCCTTTTCATTTCTGTATTGAAGATGCAAAAATTGATTGTTAATTGAATGAAAACTGGTTGATTAAATCAAAATTTGTCCATTTATCAGTTTCTTTCATCTTGACATAATTTTTTTTTCATTCATCATTTTGGTGGTCACGTTGGTCAACATATAACAATGATAACAATCAACATGATCATGGTCAATAATGAGTTCCCATGTGGATAACTTTGTCTACTCTTTGATATATCAAATTATTTGACCGCTTTCATTGTGAACAATTGAAATTAAGTTCATCTGATTATAAACATTTGAGTTTCTTTTTCAATCTAATCAAACATGATAACAACGTTAACCTTTTGGTTAAAATATAAACAATCAAGTTGGAAAATAAAAAGTTTCAATCTATTGAAATGATCAGTAGAAAATTTGAAACTGATCAATATCAAGTTGTTACAATTTTAAAGTTTAATTGTCATAATCAAATTGGTAGTAAACAGTTTCAAACAATTACCGGTTACTGGATCACAATGAGAGCAACCAGATAATCAAATTTAAATTGTTCCAAGTGAGTTAATATAAAACAGAGACAATTTGATCAATTGAAAAAAGAGACACTTACAATAATAATTATCACGAAGAGTAAAAAGCAAAAAAAGTTCATTGTTGAAACTTCATGATGATGATGAAAACCACATGCAGAGAGAAAGAGAGATAAACAAGTTCAGAAGAAATTAAAATCATGGCGAAAACGAGAGAGAGAGAGAGAGAGAGAGAGAGAGAGAGAGAGAGAGAGAGAAAGTAAAAAAAGTTCTTAAATATATTGAATAGAAGAGAAATGAATAAAGAATATGAGAGAGAGAAAATTTTCATCTTTTCTCACTCATATTGTTGATCGTAACACTAGATCTTCATGAGCAGGTCATGGACATTGAATTGAAATGCTGATTCTGAGTTAGAAGGAGGAGAAAATATTTTTTTCAACCAAAGCAAAAGAATCAAGTTAATACAATTTCAGAGTTTTTTTTACCTCCCAGTCAACAGGGAGTTAACTGTATTTAGATTGACGGGTAACATTGTATTTCCTCTTTATCCTGGTTCACCTCCTCCTCTCTGCATCCACCGCCCCACCTCCTATCGTTATTTTCATCTTCTTGAGCTTGAATATCAGATTGATGTTATTGTGATGTTGTTGTTGTAAATAATGACACTGATTATATGTAATGTTAAGTTCAGAGCCGGTTGATTCCTCGGCAATAGTTACATGAATTTCAACGAGAATTAAATTGCTGCAAGAGGAACAAAGTTGAATTTTCTCTCTCTCTCTCTCTCTCTCTCTCTCTCTCTCTCTCTGCAATTCATCTCCCTCATCATCATACTCTTGCTTTTACTTCACTAAACATAACTTATCATCATTTTCTTTAAACTTTACATTCAGATGAAATTTGTTTTCCAAATCTGATCAACATGATGGAAAAGAAAATTTTTTTCTCTTCCCTGAAATGATTGAAAACTTTTCATTGTATTTTTCGCGTTGAAATCAAAATTGACGAAATGGATAAGATAGATTATATTTTATCTGCTCGGTGTCTATCATGATGATAAAAATTGTGATAAATCAATGACGTGTTAAATGTTTACATTAACTTGATCAATGAAGTTAATTCAGCTTCCTGAAAACCATTTAATCAATAAATTTACAAACATTATCAAAAGGAATCCGTTTTCAAAAGTATCATGTTGATTTTCAGGGAATGAACTTGCATTTACATTTCAAAACCTACATGAAATAATCATTGATTACCTGATGAAATTAGTATTTTTTTCAGTAAGAATAGGAAATTATCACTTTTGTAAGGAAAAAAAAAAGTTTTTTTCCTCCAAAAAACCCAAATTTCAACGTGATTAGAATTATGAGAAATCATGATAATAATCATGAGCCATCATCGTTTATTTGATGGCAGAATTTAGTTGACTAACTTAATTATCACTCGTTTTAATGATAATTGTCATCATTTATTAATTATAAGCAACAAAATAAAACAACAATTGTCAATAATAATGGTTAACAGTTAATCATTTTGATAATATCATGATAACATTAAGATGTTATTAATATTTCAACCCATGAACTTGAATATATATTTATCTTAATAGTGATAACATGAAACAGAAACTTAATCATAATTAGATTAGTTCATTACAATTTAGCCAAGTAGCAATTGTGTTCATTGATTAATATCAACACAATATCTTTCACAGTTATCACATGGTGATAATCAATATCTCTGGAAACAGATAGAAATCAATAAACAACAATAAACCGAATCAGTTGATCAATTCAATGT